AAAAATAATTAAAGAACTACTACTATAAATAATTGGTAATGATACAAATTTATAAAGAATGTCTTTAATTCTATTAAAAAAATATTACGTTATAATACAACTAACGTATTAATTAATAATTACAATATCTAATGACCTTTTAACAATGCAAAAATAAAAGATAAGTGAGATTGAAAAAAAGCATAAGAGATGAAAATTAAAACAGATTACTATTACATTGCTCAACATATTTTTATAAAGATTAATGTATAGATTTGAATGATTTAAAATTAATCAAACATGCCTATAAATTAAAAAAATACAAATAAATAAACATATATATACTAATTAAAAATAAATAACAAAGATATGTCTGCAAATATGCAACCTAGTGTAAAACACTATCGGGCTAGCATTGGTATTTTCTCCATTTCCACTTTAACTGGCCATAAATTTTTATTTATTCGAGTACTATATAATTAAAAAAAAAAAAAAAACAAATATATTTTTTTTATTTATTATTTTCTATAAGTATCTTGTTTTTTCAGTATAGTGTTATATTATCAATTAAGGTCGTAAATAAACATAACATTAAAAAAAATATAAAATAAATAAACATAATTACTAATAAAAAATAAATAAAAAATTCTGATATTTTGCAAACCTAGAGTTTAAAATCACTATGTAGCAATTCTGGTATTTTTCCACTTTAAACTCGGCCATAAATTTTATTTATTTGAGCTCTAGTATTAATTTAAAAAAAAACATTATAATTAGTATTTCCAGTCAAGTTTTAATACGGTTTATTAAGGTTAAATGGTCACACACATCCAATCCAAAGTAAAATCCCCCTATTTTTCAAAAAAAAAAAATAAAAATAAAATAACATAATTACTAAATAAAGATAAATAAAAGAATTGCTGATATGCAACCAGTAAAACACTGTTAGCATTGTATTTCTTTCCACTTTAACTGGCATAAATTTTATTATTGAGCTCTAGTATTAATTAAAAAACAACAATTATATTAGTATTCCAGTCAAGTTTTTAATACAGTTTTATTAAGGTAAATGTCACACACTCTCAAGTAAATGCCCTACTAATTTAAAAATAAAAATATTAAAAACAGACATACTTAAATTAAAAATAAAATTAAAAATTGAAAAAAAAAAAAAAAAAAAATAAAACAATATCTTTTTTTTAGGAGTTCCTTTTCGAATATAAGCAATAATCCCGTCTCGGTTGAATTGTTCTTTCCACTTTGTTATATCGGCCTCATAACATTTTTTTTTAGTTTTCTGTAGCTCTAGTATTGATATGAAAAATCAAAAATAGAATCCCACGATTCGTCTTTATATATATTTCTCCGATTGTCAAGTTTTAATACGGTTTTAATTAATGGTTATTTTTAATTTTTTTTTTATTATATCTAAAAGTATGTATATGTCTAGTTGCGCGCCTGCATATATTGTATTCCATTAAATTATAAATAATAAATTATAATCATTGATAACATATATTACTAATAAAGAATATAATAAAAAATTCATGATATCTTTTTGCATACCAGTTTTATAAACACTGTTTTTTTTGTTTTTAAAAAGTTTTCTTTTTTCACTAAACTGTGCCATAATTCATTATTTTGTAGCTCTTTTATGCTGAGTTAATCGTGAAGAAAATAAAAAACAATATTGATTGTATGTCCTCATCAAAATACGGTTTATTAACTTCTGGATATTGTCAACTACTCTCGAATAATATGCTGTCTTTTAATCTTATTAAAAAAATAATTTTTTTTTTTTTTTTTTTTTTATAAAAATTTGAAATAAAAAAAAGCTGATAGCTAAACCAGTAATAAATCTTACTGTGAGATCCCCTCTTAATCTGGCCTCATAAAATTTATTTATTTGAGCTTGTATTAATAAAAAAAATAATACAATTTTTTAGTTATTAATAAAAAAAAAAAAAAAAAAAAAAATGGTTTTTTTTTTTATTTAACTTGGTTGTCTTAAATTGTCACTACCACTTCTAAGTAATATGCCTTCCCGCTATAAATTTAAAAACATTAAAAAATAAAACATTAATTTTTACTAATAGAAATAAATTAAAAAATTTCTGATATGCAACCAGTAAAACACTGTTAGCATTGTATTTTTTTCCAAAAAAAAAAAAAAAACATTAAATTTTATTTATTTGAGCTCAGTATTAATTAAAATAAAAACAATTATATTTAGTTTCGCAGTCCAAGTTTTAATTGACGGTTTTATTATTATGTCATACACTCTCAAGTAAATGCCCTTATTAAAGTTAAAAATTTATATAAAATAAATTAAACATATTACTAATAAAAATTAAATAAAAAATTGTCTGATATGCAACCAGTCTAATACCACTGTTAGCATTGTATTTCTTTCCACTTTAACTGGCCATAAAAAATTTTATTTATTAAAAAAAAAAAAAAATTAATTATTAAAAATAAAAACAATTTATATTTTAGTTATCAGTCAAGTTTTAATACGGTTTTATTAAGGTAAATGTCACACACTCTCAAGTATAATGCCCTATAATATTAAAAAAAAATAAATAATAACGATAAACCATTATTACTAACTAAAAATAAATAAAAAAATTCTGATTGCAACCAGTAAAACACTGTTAGCATTGTATTTTTTTCCAAAAAAAAAAAAAAAATATAAAAAGTTTTATTTATTTAAAAAAAAAAAAAATAATTCATAAAAAAAACAATTATATTAGTATTCCAGTCAATTTTAAACTGCGTTTTATTAAGGTATAAATGTCACACACTCTCAAGTAAATGCCCTTATAAATTAAAAAATAAAAATAAATCAAACATAATTACTAATATAAAATAAATAAAAAATCTCTGATATGCAACCAGTAAAATACTGTTAGCATTGTATTTTTTTTCCACTTTAACTGGCCATAAATTTTATATTTTGAGCTCTAGTATTAAATTAAAAAAAAAACAATTATATTAGTATTCCAGTCAAGTTTTAATACGGTTTTATTAAGGTAAATGTCACACACTCTCAAGTAAATGCCCTATTTTTACATTTATAATAGTTCAGTCTCATCTGCGGTAGTTTGCTATCCGCTTAACCTGATCTATTTTTTATTTATTGTCATTGTGTCTATCATTTGTAATTTGCTGTTGTGCGCTCGCGGTCACCTATATCTGATCCTTTAAATTTAGGCAAAATTAAAATGCTAACACTGTACAAATTGCAAAGTAAATAGTAAAAAAAAAAATATATTTAATCATTTTTATTATTTTTTATTAAAGACTTCTTAATGCCAATTTTATTGACATATATATCAGCGGTATTTACGTACTAGTCCATATTAAATGACTTGATAAAAGATCTTAAATGGACTCTAATAAAAATATATATTTTTATATTAATATTTGCGGTTTTACACGATCGAAAAATATTCAAAACGAAATTATTCTGATTTATTAAAAAAAAAAAAAAATATAATTAAATAATATATATTACTACCAACTCTGAATTATTAAATCTGTTGTTTTATTTATTAAAAATACTTTAATAATTTATATAAAACACAGATTTTACCCTTTTCACCTTTTCGAAAAATTATATTAAAACCAAAAATAAAAAAAATATCTGTATTTTTATTTTTTGTCAAAAAAAAAAAAAAAACACTTTTTTTTTGTTTTAGTACTTAAAAAAAGCAGAAATAAGGCTCTTAGTAGACATGTATGCGTTTATATTGGACTCAAAAGACTGATATAGAGATATATATAAGCGTCGCGCAAATGCATATATCATTAAATAGGTTTATATATATGCTACGTTCTCTCTGGACCTCGATGTGTGGCGCGAGCGTGTCCTATACTCTCCATTATTAAGAAAGGCAAGCCTAATATGTGAGAGATTGTGCGTTCGTGTCCATTAAAGTAATTTTCCATTAATACTGGGTACTTGGACTGGAAACAGCTATCAAAACGTCCATTAATACCAATTTGTTTTGCTTACTTTAAATACAAAAATAAATGTAATTTTTTATAAAGTCGTTTCTTCATCACATTTTGGAATTAAAAAATATATGTTTTTTTTTAATATGTTAGGTTGATTAATGAAAAAAAATTAATTAAATCGGTCAATATGGTAACTCCTCTTAAGAATATATTGTTTCATACACTTACATGATGGAGTGGTATTTTTTATCCCTATTAAAAAAAAGAAAAACATTATTATTTAATAAATAATAAGGCTGTGGTTTCTATACAATTGTAATATTAAAAGATTTTTGGATAATAATTTTTCTTATCTATTTTTCTAATACTTTATCGTTGCAGCACATACTATGGTGTTTAATAAATCCATGGGTTCAAGATAAAATATAAATCAGAAAAAAAAATTATTCATCTAAAACAATATTAAATAAAAAAAAAAAAAAAAAAAATTAGAAAATAAAGAAAAAATTAAATAATTTAAACTAACAAATTAAAAAAAAATTAAGTCTCCGTCTTAGGAAACTGACAAATCCAAAACAACCAAAAAATGTTCAAAATGCAAAATTCCCAAATGTTGTGGTGTGGTCGGTCAACATCGCTCGGTCAAACAGAACTGTCAGGATCCCCACCCCCTAGAGTGCTTTTTGGTGCTTTTTCCGCCCCCCATGCATGAATCGAATAACCTAAGATTAGTTTTATTCTTTTTTTAATTGCTTCTTCCATTGGTCTTCTTTATTTCAAGGTGTTAACCCCTGTGGCTTGCCCTGCTTCCTCCACTTTCTCCATTCGTCCCAACCAGATTTTTATTCTCCGTGAGTATTATAACATTTTTAGTCATAAATTAGTGGACAAACAGAATCCGTAACAATATGCAAGCAGTAATACAGTATCAGCATTTTATATTGTCCTGACTATTTTTAATAGTTGTTGGCTTTTCTAATATTGGAACAAAAGCGCTTGTATATATTTAAAAAAAATTCAAGCTGTCCAATGAAATTAAAGATAGATAAATAACTTACCATTGTTGAAGAACTGGATCTCCTCTAACAGCTATTAAGTAACAGCAGTTCAAAATGGTTTTCCTTGATTTCTTCTGCCACAAGAGTTTCTCTCTCTCATTTCATTTAAATCTCTTTTATGACCACCATACATATTATTTGCAGCTAGTATGTCTTATCGGTTTCTAATAGCCATTGTCCTATCGTATGCCTAAATAAAAAAAATATTAGGTAATTTTTTATTATAGCAATAATTTTTAAAGCTATCAGAAAACAGACAATAACATAAATTATGTTAATATTTAGAACTATGTAACATAACAAATAATAGACATTTTTTATATTAATTTGAATAAGTTATAAAGAGTTGTATAAAATTAAAAAACAACTTTTATTGAGAACTTCAGAAATGATAAAAAATTCTAAAATTCCTTGATAAGAAAATAAAACATTATTATAATGAGTTACTAATAATCCAAAAAATCAATATCTAATTTACTAAATATATAGAAAAAGAAAAAAATAATATTTAGTAATAACTCGTAAATTTACTGCGTTATTTTGGTGATAACTTTAATAATTTTAAAATAAATTTAAAGATATGCAACCAGTAAAACACTGTTAGCATTGTATTTTTTTCCACTTTAACTGGCCATAAATTTTATTTTTTTGAGCTCTAGTATTAATTAAAAAAAAACAATTATATTAGTATTCCAGTCAAGTTTTAATACGGTTTTATTAAGGTAAATGTCACACACTCTCAAGTAAATGCCCTATAAATTAAAAAATAAAAATAAATAAACATAATTACTAATAAAAATAAATAAAAAATTGCTGATATGCAACCAGTAAAACACTGTTAGCATTGTATTTTTCCACTTAACTGGCCATAAATTTATTTATTTGAGCTCTTAGTATTACTCAAAAAAAACAATTATATTAGTATTATTCCAGTCAAGTTTTAATACGGTTTTATTAAGGTAAATGTCACACACTCGAAGTAAATGCCCTATAAATTAAAAAATAAAAATAAATAAAACATAATTACTAATAAAAATAAATAAAATTGCTGATATGCAAACCAGTAAAACACTGTTAGCATTGTATTTCTTCCACTTTAACTGGCCATAAATTTTTATTTGAGCTCTAGTATTAATTAAAAAAAACAATTATATTAGTATTCCAGTCAAGTTTTTAATACGGTTTTATTAAGGTAAATGTCACACACTCAAGTAAATGCCCTATAAATTAAAAATAAAAAATAAATAAAATGATAATTACTAATAAAATAAATAAAAATTTCTGATATGCAAATCCAGTAAAACACTGTTAGCATTGTATTTTTTTTCCACTTTAACTGGCCATTACAAATTTTATTTATTTTGAGCTCTAGTATTAATTAAAAAAACAATTATATTAGTATTCCAAATGTTTTAATATTTAGGTTTTATTATGTAAATGTCACACACTCTCAAGTAAATGCCCTATAAAATAAAATAAATAAAACATAATTATTAATAAAAAAATAAATAAAATTGTTGATATAAACCAGTAAACACTGTTAGCATTGTATTTCTTTCCACTTAACTGGCCAAGTAAATTATTTATTTGAGCTCTAGTATTAATTAAAAAAACAATTATATTAGTATTCCAGTCAAGTTTTAATACGGTTTTATTAAGGTAAATGTCACACACTCTCAAGTAAATGCCCTATAAATTAAAAAATAAAAATAAATAAACATAATTACTAATAAAAATAAATAAAAAATTGCTGATATGCAACCAGTAAAACACTGTTAGCATTGTATTTCTTTCCACTTTAACTGGCCATAAATTTTATTTATTTGAGCTCTAGTATTAATTAAAAAAAAACAATTATATTAGTATTCCAGTCAAGTTTTAATACGGTTTTATTAAGGTAAATGTCACACACTCTCAAGTAAATGCCCTATAAATTAAAAAATAAAAATAAATAAACATAATTACTAATAAAAATAAATAAAAAATTTCTGATATGCAACCAGTAAAACACTGTTAGCATTGTATTTTTTTCCACTTTAACTGGCCATAAATTTTATTTATTTGAGTTTCCAGTGTATTAATTAAAAAACAATTATATTAGTATTCCAGTCAAGTTTTAATACGGTTTTATTAAGGTGGCTGTCACACACTCTCAAGTAAATGCCCTATAAATTAAAAAAAATAAAAATAAATAAACATAATTACTAATAAAAATAAATAAAAATTGTTATGTTCAGTAAAAACACTGTTAGCATTGTATTTCTTTTTTCCACTTTAACTCGGCCATAAATTTTATTTATTTGAGCTCTAGTATTAATTAGTAAAAAACAATTATATTAGTATTCCAGTCAAGTTTTAATAATACGGTTTTATTGCTGCAAATGTCACACACTCTCTCAAGTAAATGCCCTATAAATTAAAAAAAAAAAAATAAAAAATAAATAAACATAATTACTAATAAAAATTTCTGATATGCAATCAGAAAACATCACTGGTTAGCATTGTATTTTTTTCCACTTTAACTGGCCATAAATTTTATTTATTTGAGCTCTAGTATTAATTAAAAAAACAATTATATTAGTATTCCAGTCAAGTTTTAATACGGTTTTATTAAGGTAAATGTCACACACTCTCAAGTAAATGCCCTATAAAAAAAAAATAAAAATAAATAAACATAATAATTTTGGTGTATTTTTTATTAAATTTTGATAAAACTATTACAAAGAAAAAGCACGAGTGTCTTTCAGATATTAAAAAATGTGCCATCTAATATATTTTTAATACAACAAAAAAATACACATTAAAAAAATAAACATTAAAAAAATACACATTAAAACTTGAGCTAAAACTCAAATGAATGTTCTAGCTTCTAAAATAAAAAAAAGTTAAAACCTGTTAAAATTTAGGGCAAAATAAAATGCTAACACTGTACAAACTGCAGAGTATGATGAATATTCTGCAAAATTTAATCATTTTACAAAATTTTCAAGCTTATCAATGCCATTTTATGACAATATATACAGGGTATTTCACGTAACTAGTCCATTAAAAGTGATGATAAAAAAGATCTTAAATGGACTCTAATAAAAAATATTTATAATTTTTATATTAATATTTGCGGTTTTAACGATCGAAAAAAAAAATATAAATAAGGTATCTGCTGTACTAAAAATATCAAAATAAAATAAATCAACTTATATTTACCATACCGTAATTTTATTGTGCTTATCTTAGTGGAAACTTTAATAATTATTAAAACCAGATTTAGAAACTGCATTTTTTTCCAAGATCGCTATATGCAACCAGTAATACAGTGTCTGTATTTTATTTTGTCCTGCCTTTAATAATCCTTTTTATTATTGTTTTAGTTAAAAAAAAACAGAAAAAAATAGAGCATGTTAATATTGGACCAAAAGAGCTTGGATACGATGGAAAATTTAATATTTTTATAAGATTTTTAAATTTATAAGAATAAGTTGAGAGGCATAACTTACCATTATTAAAAGGCAAGTAAATGGCATTTTTCTGTGTCCATTAAAGATTTTCCATTAAAACTGGAACTTGGACTGGAAACAGCTATCAAAACGTCCATTAATACCAATTTGTTTTGCTTACTAAAAATACAAAAAATAAATAAGTAAATTTTTATAAAGTCAGTTTCTTCACACATTTTGGAATAAAAAAATATGTTTTTTTTTAATATGTTAGGTAGATATTAAAAAAAAAAATAAACGCAATAGTAACTCTTTAAAATATTGTCAAATATTCATAGATTTTTACAAAAAGAAAACATACTAAATAAAATTAAAATTGTCTGATACAAATTTGTAAATATCTACAAAGATTGAAAAAAAATAATATATTAATATATTTTCATTCTCAAACTTACTTTATTTCGAATTTGAAGCCTACAATTTTGTAGTTAAATACAAAAATTGTAGCATTAAAAAATAATAAAAAAATAAAAATAACTTACCATTTTCATAGCGCATTGGCAATGAAGGCCAGTCAATCTAAGTACTATTGATTGTATCTTGAAATTGTCATTTGTGGGTAAGATTTTCAGTATCATTTTATTCAAAAAATTCCTCCCGCATTCATCAAACTTATGTACAGTTCTAACTCATTTGCAGATTTGTAACAGCAACTGTCAACGCCCAGTACATCACTCGAACAGATATCTAAAAATAAACAAATATTAATAAGTATATTAATTTGTATCAATGGAGCTTCTATTCAAATATTATTAATATGCGCATATTATATTTTTAAAAAATAAAGAAAACTCTAAGTATGCCCTATAAAAAGAAATTTAAAATAAAAATAGCAATTTACAAAAAATCAAGACATCGAATTCCAACAGGCGGCCATTTTATTTAAACATTCCATGACCGAAAAAATTAAACAAAAAGTCAAAGATACCATTACGTAATTTACCAAAAATGTAGTACTATTATTTAACCCTTATGTAACACGCAGTATAGAAAGTACCGAAAACACATAGTTTTACATACTTATTTATTAATCTACGTATATTATTTAAACAATATTCTTAAAAATTAATAACTTAATGGGGAACATTGAGAAGGAGGCTGCCATGATGGATATTGCGAAATCCAAAAATTTTAAACTAAAATATCCCAAAAAATACATAAAATTAAGGGTACTCACTTTTTCAGGAGGCTAAGCAGGGCACTAGTAACAGATTACGCATAAATTGTGTACACTAAATGCACTTTTTCGTCAGAAAATTTAAAAAATAGATGCAACCGACGGGAGGACGTGCGGATCCTTCGATTGTAAACGACTAGCAGGACCGGCGTTGCCAGATTGAAGCCATTCGTAAAATTTAAGCTGCTCATAAAATTAATTTATTACTAATAATAATATGTAATATTATTTATAGGCAAATTCTTGTAAATTAAGCTTAATTTTGTTCTCAAAAGTTATTATTTACTCAATACGTTCCACTGAAATCCTTTTTTTACGTAAGGTAAAATATGTTTATTGTCATAAATAAAAAATAAATAAGTAATTATAAACATAAATACACAAAAATCATGAAATAAACATAAAATAAAGCTGTTTAAATACATTTTTAATGCTATAAATACATCGAAACCAAGAATAAAGACTATAATAGTACGTAATTACAAGAAGAAATAAAAGAAATTTCTACAAAACAACATTACTGGTACTTGTTTTACTAAAAATATAAATATAGAAATAACCCTTACTATAGTGCCAGTGATCAATTTAAACTAATATCATTTCACAAAAATCACATAGAGAAAAAGATTTTCGACATTTTTTAACAATCCGGCAACATCGAACGATAATAAAATTCAAAACCTCCAGGCAACCGAAACTGACCAATCACGATCGAGAATTTTTTGCTCTTGGATGCCTCGATTTTAATTTTTTTTAATAAACATGGATGGTTTTTATTAAAATTTCAGTAGAATATGCATCTTAAATTAATTAAATAATTTGTCTTTATTTGTATTTATTCCCTCCAGTATAAAATATCATACAAAACTTATTTTCTATTGAAATTATTATGCACGCACATAATTAGATGAACTATAAAATCATGCATTTCTTTAACATTTTAATAAATTATTAAGAAACAAGTGTTTTTATTCAATAAATATCCCTTAGTTTAATAAGAAACTAATTCTATATAGTTAAATAATAAGAAATATGAGATAAATTATATGAATTATATAAAAAAATAACTTCATAAGTCTTTTTACTTGACTCGATGTTGACAGCTCTTACCGGATGTATCTGTTCAACTTTTGACGCCACATGTTTCAAATTTGAAATTTAATTAAGCTGAAAAATCCTTTATTTACAAGAAAAAATATATTAATAAGTACAAATTATGATCGAAAAAACGGCGTCCAGTTGGCTGGGAAATGACGATTGAGTACATTTCCCATAAATTTACATATAAAATGACAGCGATCTTCATTTCATGAAGTTAAGCACAAACATTTAATAAAACATCTTTGTAAGTGTAAAAATTAAGAAAATATATGTATTTGCAGTATTTCCAACTAGCAGCCATTGACTTTTTAATTGACAGTTGATCGACGGCACTGACGGCAGTGACACTTTAGGGATGTTTGACTTAAATCGATTCTTCAGAAAATCGATCTTTTGACACGATTCCTGATTTTTTGAATCAATTATTTTGTATTATTATTATCTACCTGAAATATTAAAATAAACATTAGTTTTTTGAAGAATATAATAATATAGTCATATAAAATCTTAGGAAAATGTAACAATAAACAATAAGAGGTTAAAAAATAATATAAAGTAATAATTGTTGTTCTCACCGTAGCGAGTAACTATTTCAAAACCCAAAATAATTTGGCAGCTGCTACGGCTGCCACTAACTACTAATATCTTAAAATTTTATCTTCTATTCCTATCCATGTCCATATATTTATTTTTTTATTTTCCAAGATTTTCTTGACTTTATGGTGAAGGAAGATTTATTTGGATTCAGATTTCCGATAATATTCCCTAGAATGTGCCAAAGCCATCTCGTCATATTAAAAAATTACCTCAGAATGTAATGATTAATTAAAAAAATTGCAAATTGATTGTTATCAGTTCATTTCGCTCTTAAAAATTAATTATACCAAATATTAATTTATATATTATTATAACCAAAGCATTAGAATTTAGAATTTAGAATGAGTGGGAGGGAGGTTAATCACTTCGACCTTACAGATCCATTGTGTCCCCCTTTCTTGAATCATAACTCATCATACAGTCCCAGGGCTTTGACAAAAGCCAGTATCTGGGACGGTTTTATAGAGGGTAGTTCTCCATCTCCAATATCAGTCGTACCAAAGTTCATGGCACGAATGGTTGTCGTCTCGGCGCACTCAGTGATGAGGTGTACTGGTGTTTCCCCATCTTCCCCACAGAATCTGCATTCGCCGTTTCTTCTTAGTTTCAATCTACTGAGGTGTTCATTGAGGAGCCAGTGTCCTGTTAAAAACCCCGTGACAATCCGAAGATTGTTCTTACTCAGACCCAGGAAGATCTGTGATTTTTCTTGATCATAAGCCCTCAGAAACTTCTTCGAGTGTCTTAGACCATTGCAAGATTTCCATTCCAGGTAGCGGATGGAATCTTCCAAGTCCTTGAGTTCCGCCTTGAGTTGGTTACCACTTGGAAAGCAGAACGGTTCTGGTCCAGTTAGTGGAGTGTTCGCTCCTTTCCTAGCTAGATTATTTGCTTTTTCATTGCCTTCTATCCCTTGGTGAGCAGGCACCCAGTGTAGGAGGACTTTGTTTTTTTGCCTAATTTATTCAGCTTCTCTATGCATTCTTTGACCAATTTCAAATCGATTGATACTGAGTTGATCGCCTTTAACGCTGCTTGACTATCAGATAAGATGGCTATTTCTTGTTTCCGATAGTTCCTATCTAAGATAAGTTGTACGCATCTCTCGATAGCGTAGATTTCTGCCTGTAGGATACTAGGGTAAGTGCCCATTGGTTCGGAGTAATTAGCTCTCGGCGCAAACACTCCGATCCCTGTTCCCGTATTGGTTTTGGAAGCATCAGTATACCAAGTTATGGTATGGTCTTTTAACTGCTGGGCAAGCGTTTCGCTCTTCCAATCCTTCTTATTGCTCAATACTACATTGACATGTTTGTCAAAGTTGTACGTTCTTGGCATATCGTCCACTGGGAGTTGCAGGAGTAACCAAAGCATGTACTGACATGAATCAAAAAACAAAATGTTCAGGAGTCATGGTTCTGACCGTACAATTATAATTTAGGAAAATATTGCAATAAACACACGAAATTATTGCACAGGATGTTTGAAAGTTAAGGTAAAAAAACAACCCCTCGATTAACCGTGTATAATATGCCAAATACTAAAGTTTATAAAAAGCTAAGTTTACGAATTAAAGTTTATATAATTATATGCAGTTTGCTAAAAAATTCATGAAAATAGGGCTAAAAATAACAAAAATATAACACTTTAAATTTGACCAAAAATTTCTCTGTTGCGTTTTTATTTGCATCTGAGTGTACATTTAAAAAACATATTTAAAGTCGTCGTGCACCTCTGTCTTCATAATCGGAGGGACATCTTCGGGTTCCATTTTTATAAAATCTTCTAGCTTCACATTTCGAGTGGCAGATTCATTTTCGCTATTTTTGCAAACAATAAGAAAATATTTAAAACACAATGCCCTATCCATTAATAAAAATACGTGTAAATAACATACTTAAAGTCATCGTGCACCTCTGTCTTCATAATCGGAGCGACATCTTCAGGTTCTGTTTTTATAAAATCTTCTGATTTTATTTCATTAGTCAAAGATAAACATTCAGAATTTCTGCAATTAATGAGTTACATTATTATCGCTAAATTAGTAAAAATACACTTAAAAAACATACTTAGAGTCATCCAAAGGCGAAGCAAGATCATCAATTTCGATTTTTAAAGCATCTAATATCACTTCATCAGTTGAAGATGTACAATGGGCATTTCTGGAAACAATAAACAATTAAAATGACAAAATATGTGCCTGGACATTTTTGTTCCAATAGCAATATTTCAATAAGTTTTTTTGATAAGTGCCATTATTTTGAATACTTTGAAGTTTTAAAACAGTGACCTTATATTTAGGGTATTGAAAAAATCGTGATCATATTTAAAACTGAGTAAGATCACGTCAAGTGGACCCCCTTTTCCCACTTAGTCATGGAATTCTATTTAATATATACAGGGTGCGTCTTAAATAATGTGAATTGTGAATGAGAAAATGAATAATGAATTCAGACTTTATCTATTACACTGTATATGATCCATGTATTACACAAAATAAATTTACCTGGCATCAATATGTTTCTTCTCAAGGTGACGTCGTAAGGTTTGTTTTCTTGTATATCTCTTATCACAGTGTGTACATGCAAACAACTGTCGGTCTTTCAGTGGAAAATGAATTTTCTTGTGTCTGCAAAAATTTGATTTATATGGCGTATGAAAGCCACATGTAAGAAATATTTTTAATAATAAAAATTTTTAAATTATTTTTTTTTTATAATTTCGATCTAATAACAGAATATTTAAATACTACAGTCTAGTAATCGTACAAAATATTTTTCATATAAAGTGTTTCAAAATTCATAGGGGCGAATTGTTAGGGCCAAACCAATCCAAACCCACTTTTTTAGCCATATATTTTTTAATGCGACATATGGCACATTTATAGACTTTTTTCTCGGCTTCTTTCGATCTAATAAAAGAATATTTAAATATTACAGTCCTGTAACTCTGTAAAACACGGTTCTTCAAGCATATAATCTCACGTACCTACCCCTACCTATTTTACTTATGGTCAACACCATAAAAAAAATTATTTTTTTTATTTTGAAACACCCTAGCTACACGAATATAAATTTACCTGGCATCAATATGTTTCTTCTCAAGGTGACGTCGTAAGGTTTGTATTGTTGTATATCTCGTATCACAGTGTGCACATACAAACAACTGTCGGTCTGCCCGTGCGATGTGAATTTTCTCGTGTCTGTGAAAAATGCACTTATCTGGTGTTTGAAAGCCACATATGGCGCATTTATGGACTTTTAGCTCAGCTTCTTTCGATCTAACAAAAGAATATACGGGGTCGCTTTTATATATCGAAACGGTCGATTATTAGGTAAAATATACAAGGTACCGCAAAAAATTAACTGCAAAAATTATAGCGTTTTTAATTGTCTATTGGTGGGTAATAAATTCATGTATTCAGGGTCGGTCATAAAGTCGTGGCACATCAAAGCTTTATTTTTTTAAATAGAACCCCCTGTATATTATTGCATATTTCAATTCTTCATTCAATTCTAAGGAAAAATCGAAATACACATAATGTATCTGAAACCAACCGTTTCAGAATTATTGACCTTTGAAAATGTCACTTAAACAATTTGATTTAATTAGTTAATTTCGATATGTTCAGTTTCATTTAACGATGCCATTCTGCCGAAACTATGACACTTAGTAAAATTTGACATTAGTTCTCAAGTTAGCATTTATAGATGTATAAAATGAGATTATATCAAGTCTGGAAATTACAAAATTTAAGCTTAACATCTCAATTCTTCAATTTATGTACGTTGTGTATTACGATTATTGCTTAAAATTGAAGGAAGAATTGAAATATGCAATAGTATACAGGGTGTTTCAAAACAAATGCGAAAAACTTCAGGGGGTGATTCCTTGTTCAAAATAAAAGGTTATTTGCTTCATAAACGTTGGGTCAAAAGTCAACCATTAGGGAAATATTGCGGTACAAAGATGGCGGAAAAATAATGTTTTTATTTTTTATCTTGAAAACGAAAAGAGATAGACTAATAAAATTTTATGGAAGCATTACTGTTATGAAAACACACTTTCTGGTAATTTTTTCACTTTTTTAAAATGAGTGGAAGGGGTTGAAATAAACTACCCCTATTATTCTTGTTAACGAAATTTAAAGAAAATCTTTTTCAAACACATGCAAATGCTTTTTAATTTGGATAGTTTAGTTTGTTTAGAAACTTTTTATCTCTTGTATTTTTTGATAAAACTCACCGATTTGAAATTAAAAAATAAAATGTAAAGCATTACATGTCAGGACAAAAAACATTTTCTGATAAAGAATCTAGTGGGCTGCTGTAATTTTTTTAGGAAAAAATCTAGTCGGCCGCTGTTACTTTTTAGGATGTTCCTAATATTATTTTATACTGCAATACGTTATTATCTAGATGATTATTATTATCGTTATTATCACTAGATTCTTAATATAAAAATGTTTTTTGTCATAACATGTAATGCTTTACATTTTATTTTTTAATTTCCAATCGGTGAGTTTTATCAAAAAAACACAAGAGGTAAAAAAGTTTCTAAACAAACTAAACTATCCAAATTAAAGCATTTGCATGTGTTTGAAAAGATTTTTCTTTAAATTTCGTTAACAAGAATAATAGGGGTAGTTTATTTCAACCTCTTTCACTCATTTTAAAAAAGTAAAAAAATTACCTGAAAGTGTGTTTTCATAACAGTAATGCTTCCATAAAATTTCATTAGTCTATCTCTTTTCGTTTTCAAGATAAAAAATAAAAACATTATTTTTCCGCCATCTTTGTACCGCGATATCTCCCTAATGGTTGACTTTTGACCTAACGTTTATAAAGCAAACTACCCTTTATTTTGAACAAGGAATCACCCCCTAAAGTTTTTCGCATTTGTTTTGAAACACCCTGTATAGGGGATTTCATTTAAAAAAAATAAAGTTTGATGTGCCACAACTTTATGACCGACCCTGTATATTTAAATTTACTAGTAGCTAATAGGCATTTAGAAACCCATTACAACAGTATCACAATTTCGGCAGAATGACATCACTAAATGAAACTGAACATATCGATATTAATTAAATCAAATTGTTTAAGTGATATGTTCAAAAGTCAATAACTCGGAAACGGTTGGTTTGAAATACATTATGTGTATTTCGAATTTTGCTTAGAATTGAAGGAAGAATTGAAATATGCAATAATATACAGGGGGTTCTGTTTAAAAAAATGAAACTATGATGTGCCACGACTTTATGACCGACCCTGTTTACATAAATTTATTACCCACCAATAGACAATTAAAAACGCTATACTTTTTGCAGTTAATTTTTTGCGGTACCTTGTATATTTTACCTAATAATTGACTGTTTCCATACATAAAAGCGACCCCGTAATTATTAAATAAGTATTAATAAAATAAAATAATATTTAAATAACAGTCTTGGAACTCTATAAAACAGGGTTCTTCAAACATATAATATCACGTACCCTACCCTATTATAATTATTACCATTAACAAAATGTTTTTATTAAAAAACTTAGAACTGAATCATTCATATGTTGATCTTAATTTACCCGTACGCCGCCGCCGCAAGCTCAGAGAAAACATTAAGTCTTTTTTTGATTTAAATCATTTTAATGACTTAAGTCATTTGATTTTAAGTCATTTTTCGAAAGCTGACATAAGAGTTAAAATTTAAGTCTTTTTATAAAAGGCTTAGAACTAATCGATATTGCTATCTATAGGTGGAGATCTTTGAATAAGAAGACTAAGGAAGGAGCATAATGCTATCCATGTATTCATGCATGGTGGGCGGAAAAGCCACCATAAAAGCTCTCTAGGGTGGGGATCCTTGACAGTTCTGTTTGACGATTCATTTGACACATTTGAATTTGATTTGAAATTTTGTGGATTTGTCAGTCTTTACGGAGCTTATTTTATGTTATTTATTATTTATTCTACTACTGATAGTTGTATAAAGGTAGTAAATCTAGATGGAAATTGTGGCAGAACTTAAATTAACAGTGACACTATCGCGATTTATCGAAAAAGACTCTAAAATAGTTGGTTGTGTAGCGTGCGGTAGATCTCGGCAAAAATTGAGTGAAATAATGGAACAACTTTTCGCTAGTAAGTGACTATATAATATACATACGTGTAGTAAAACGATCATTTATGAAATTCACTTAAATTAACTAAATTATATATTTTTCTTGCATTTTAGCTTTTATTTATTACTTGTCAAAGATTAGATGTCAAAGAATTTAGATACGTTAATTTGACTTACCTGCTTCAGTAGCGTATCGGATGTTTGTGTTAATAAATACTTATTATAACTTATCTATTTTTATTAGAATTATATATTTTTATAACAATTTTAATAACTACCAACATTTATTCACAACGTAAAATAAAATAACAAATTATTGAGTCTACCCCACGTCTACCCTACATCATAGTTTTACATTTTTTAAATAAAATTAGAACGACACTGATAAACCGGAATTTAAGTCGGCCATATTTGAGGCCCATCGCGGTGTACCTAAGATTTTTGATATGCTCCTTCCTTAGTCTTCTTATTCAAAGGTGGAGATACACGTTTTTTCTGCTATCCATCAAATAAAATATATCTGAAAATACCGGGGGTAACAATAATAAATTTACCTGGAATCAATATGCTTAGAGTGAAGGTGGAATTTTAATCTTCGTTTTTCCGTATATTTCTTATCACAGTGTGCACAAGCAAACAGCTGTCGTTCATCTCGGGCCAAGTGAATTTTCTGGTGTTGTTGCAAGCGTGATATCAAGGGTGTTTGGTAGCCACAAATGGAACATTTATAGATATTTTTCCGCGCAGCCTTGGACCTAAAATCATTTTTAAATACTGGTCTTGTAATTGCGTAAAACAATTCTGAAATGGTAGTGGTAGCTTAACCACTAAGAAAAAGAAAAATATAGTTGACTTGCATTGTAAGTAGGTGATAGAGATGGTTTAGAAATTACAATCACTTATTTTATCTGTAAAACTATATGAAAAATGTCGTCGATCGTCATCTCTAACTCTACTGGACGCCATATTTTTTTCGATTGTGCGGTATAGGCTTGGGGCATTCTCCGCCGGTGCTGCCACCATCGGAGAATATCGTAAAAAACTAGCACATACAAATACACGGGTTTAAATAGAGGGTATACGAAAAAAATATTATTTAATTATTCTAAAAGCGTTAGAAAGTATAATTTGTAAAAATTTCAAAAATAAAAATAAAAAAATAAATATTTTGATACCTCCAGAAGGTCTAACTTGTTTTTTAATTTATTATTCCAGTTAAAAAAAACTTTTTAGATGGTTTGGTAGCGAGCATAGTTTTAATCAACGGTTTTGCTAGTGGGGCATAATTGGGGTTTATTCGGGTATAACGAAAATTTTTAAAGGTACATAACTATAATTTTAGAATATATTCATAAAACATTTAATCACTAGTTGATTAAAAAAAGTATACCATTAATATTGCAAATTATATTTTAACCTCTCATAGCCTATTTAATTTTTTAATTATGTAACGAGCACTTTGTTTACTCACTGGTTTCGTCGAACTGCTTGAATCTCTGTTTCGTTGAACTGCTCTATCCATAAAGAGGTAAACAATCATTTAAATCAATGCATGAACGATTCAAGGTGTAACGCGAACGAAGTCGCGGGAAAAAGCTATTTGGTATAACACCTAGATCATATTGTTGCGAAACCAGTCCCGCTTTAATATGACCTAGAAGAGCCTAGAAATTCGAGAACACAGCGGCTAAGAATTTTCCAGCACCGCCCAGTGGGTTCTAGACTCCGTCGCACGCCTATATACAGGGTGTTTCAAAACAAATGCGAAAAACTTCAGGGGATGATTCCTTGTTCAAAATAAAGGGTAGTTTGCTTCATAAACGTTGCGTCAAAAGTCAACCATTAGGGAGATATCGCGGTACAAAGATGGCGGAAAAATAATGTTTTTATTTTTTATCTTGAAAACGAAAAGAGATAGACTAATAAAATTTTATGGAAGCATTACTGTTATGAAAACACACTTTCTGGTAATTTTTTCACTTTTTTAAAATGAGTGGAAGGGGTTGAAATAAACTACCCCTATCATTCTTGTTAACGAAATTTAAAGAAAAATCTTATCAAACACATGCGAAAAAATTAATTTGGATAGTTCAGTTTGTTTAGAAACTTTTTTATCTCTTGTATTTTTTTGATAAAACTCACCGATTTGAAATTAAAAAATAAAATGACAAAAAACATTTTCTGATAAAGAATCTAGTGGGCTGCTGTAATTTTTTTAGGAAAAAATTTAGTCGGCCGCTGTTACTTTTTAGGATGTTCCTAATATTATTTTATTTCACATTACTCTACTGCAATACGTTATTATCTAAATGATTATTATTATCGTTATTATCACTAGATTCTTAATCTAAAAATGTTTTTTGTCCTGACATGTAATGCTTTACATTTTATTTTTAATTTCAAATCGGTGAGTTTTATCAAAAAACACAAGAGATAAAAAAAGTTTCTAAACAAACTAAACTATCCAAATTAATTTTTTACATGTGTTTGATAAGATTTTTCTTTAAATTTCGTTAACAAGAATGATAGGGGTAGTTTATTTCAACCCCTTCCACTCATTTTAAAAAGTGAAAAAATACCAGAAAGTGTGTTTTCATAACAGTAATGCTTCCATAAAATTTCATTAGTCTATCTCTTTTCGTTTTCAAGATAAAAAATTAAAACATTATTTTTCCGCCATCTTTGTACCGCGATATCTCCCTAATGGTTGACTTTTGACCCAACGTTTATAAAGCAAACTACCCTTTATTTTGAACATGGAATCACCCCCTAAAGTTTTTCGCATTTGTTTTGAAACAAACAAAGGCAAAGAACTAATCGATATTGGTATCTATAGGTGAAGATACACGTTTTTTCTGCAATCCATCAAATAAAATATATCTGAAAATACCGGGGGCAACAATAATAAATTTACCTGGAATCAATATGATTAGCGTCAAGGTGGAATTTTAATCTTCCTTTTTCCGTATATTTCTTATCACAGTGTGGACAAGCAAACAACTGTCGTTCATCTGGGGCCAAGTGAATTTTCTGGTGTCGTTGCAACTGTGTTTTATCGCGTGTTTGGTAGCCACAAGTGGAACATTTATGGTTATTTTTCCGCGGATTCTTTGACCTAAAATCAATTTTTTTAGTACTTTAATTTTAATTTGATCAGAGAACGTATAGGAGCAATGTCTAAACAATGTATTACAAAAAATAAATTTACCTGGAATCAATATGATTATCCTCAAGGTGGCGTCGTAAGAAATATTTTGATGTATACTTCTTGTCACAATGCGCACAAGCAAACATCTGTCGTTCTTCTAGTGTCAAATGAATGTTCTGGTGTTGTCTAAAGTATGCCACATGTCGTGTTTGGTAGCCGCAAATGGAACACATATGGATATTTTCCTGCGGATTCTTTGACCTAAAATCGTTTTTTTTAGTACTTTAATTTTAATTTGATCAGAGAACGTCTAGGAGCAATGTCCAAACAACGTATTACAAAAAATAAATTTACCTGGAATCAATATGATTCTCCTCAATGTGATGACGTAAGTTTTGTTTTGATGTATATTTCTTGTCACAGTGTATACAAGCAAATAACTCTCGTTCTTCCGGTGCCAAATGAGTTTTCTTGTGATAGTCAAGATTTCTCTTATGTAGCGTTTGAAAGCCACATATGGCACATTTATAGACTTTTTTATCAGTTTCTTTCAATCTAATAAAAGAATATTTTAATATTACAGTCTTGTAACCATATAAAATGTTTTTCATATAAAGTGTTTCATAATAGCCGATAAAAAAGTCAAAGTAAAAAAAGTAGCAGTGGCAACATTGGGACGTGTATTCGTCAAATATTTAGATGACGTGCGCGCCAACTTTTATTGATTTTCCTATAGGCTTGGTGCATTCTCCGCCGGTGCTGCCACCATCGGAGAATATCGTAAAAAACTACCATATACAAATACACGGGTTTAAATAGCGAGTATACGGAAAATTTATTATTTAATTTTTCTAAGCGTTAGGAAGTATAATTTGTGAAAATTCTAAAAATAAAAATAAAAAAGTAAATATTTTGATACCTCCAGAAGGTCTAACTTGTATTATAATTTATTATTCCAGTTAAAAAAACTTTTTAGATGAGTTCAACTATGGTAGCGAGCATAGTTTTAATCACCGGTTTTGCTAGTGGGCCATAATTGAGGCTATTTCTGCTATAACGAAATTTAGGTTAGGTACAGAATTAGAATTTTAGAAGACATTCATAAAACATTTAATCACTAGTTGATTAAAAAAAGTATATCATTAATATCGCAAATTATATTTTATCCTTTCACAGTATATGTCTATTTAATTGTTTGTTCATGTAACAAGCGCTTTGTTTACTCATTTGTTTCGTCGAACTGCTTGAATCCATTTTTGCTATTGAGCAAATCGGTGTGAGAAACTATGAAGCTATAAAATGTTGTTTCAGGAGAGATGAATATCTGAGAAAGTTGAGTTATTGAATATTATTGCATCCAACAACACCTTAATTACGCTCTCCTTTACGCATTAACATTTTTTTTTGCTATTTTATTAACATTTGCAACTGTCACAACACGACAGGACGCCTAGTTCCAATTCTTTTTCACTTATTTTTTACTACACAAAACAGCGTTACATCACACAAACCTCGTACCTGAGTGTTTTATAGTTTCAATAACTGCACTAGCAAAAAACTATAAATAATATGCAATGAATACTGATAATTTCTGATTTTTGCCGTGGAAGCGCTGCGGTCGGAATAGGTTGATGTCAACTTCCGACCGCAGCGCCTCAACGGCAAAAATCCAGATTAAAATAAACATTTTGTTAATCCTCAAATTTGTTTTGATTAAATTCTTATAAGTGTACGCTTTCGAGTGATATAAACAAAACACCAAATTTGAAGGGAGTTATATCTGACTTTAGACAAGGAAAGAGAATATCTGACAAACACCTTGTATTGTCACAGGTATTGTAAACTGGGATCTAATAAAGAACTACTTTACATTCATACTTACGGTTTTAACTCTATTACTTCGTCTATGTTATCCATCATTTCCAATAGAAAAAGATCAGTAGCTGAAAGAAAAAAAATAACCCGAGATCAGTTCAGCTATAAATCCAGCACGATAAATTAAAATTTGTAAGGAGATATCTTGGAGAAGACCAAATACAGAGATGTTATCACTTATTAAACCTAATTCGTTTAATACATATTCAGACAAGTGTCGTCATTTATATTTAATAATATCTTTTGTATAATACCTACCAGTAATAAGTAATATAGGATCTATTAGTATTTACGGTTCCAGTCGATATTACAGACACTAAAAACGTAAAATTTTCCATACAGACTAAGTAAAAACATCGGATATTAGCATTTTATTACCTTATATAGATATGGATTGACCTAAGTTAAGCACAAACATTTAATAAAACCTCTTTGTAAGTGTAAAAATTAAGAAAATATGTGTATTTGCAGTATTTCCAGCTAGCAGCCATTGACTTTTTAATTGACAGTTGATCGACGGCAGACGGCAGTGACGCCACAGATTAGGTATACTGTGGTGACACTTTACTTTAGGGATGTTTGACTTAAATCGATTCTTCAGAAAATCGGTCTTTTGACACACGATTCTTGATTTTTTGAATCAATTATTCTGTATTATTATTATCTACCTGAAATACTAAAATAAACATTAGCTTTTTGAAGAGTTTAATAATATAGTCATTTAAAATCTTGGGAAAATGTAACAATAAGAGGTTAAAAAATAATATAAAGTAATAATTGTTGTTCTCACCGTAGCGAGTAGCTATTTGAAAAACCAAAATAATTTGGCAGCTGCTACAAATATCTTAATATTTGGTAATTACCTAATATTTTATCTTCTACTCCTATCCATGCCCATATATTTATTTTTTCATTTTCGAAGATTTTCTTGACTTTATGGTGAAGGAAGATATAATTGGATTCAGATTCCCGACCAAAGCCATTTCGTCATATTAAAAAATTACTTCAGAATGTAATGATAATTAAAAAAAATTGTAAATTGATCGTTATCAGTTCATTTCGCTCTCAAAAATTAACCAAAGCATGTATTGACATGAATCAAAAAACAAAATGCTCAGGAGTCATGGTTCTGAGCGTAAAATTATAATTTAGGGAAATATTGCAATAAACACACGAAATTACTGCACAGGATGTTTTAAAGTTAAAGTGAAAAAAACAACCACTCGATTAACCCTGTATAATATGCCAAATACTAAAGTTTATAAAAAGTATGGAGTGTAGAGGTTGCGACCTCTACACTCCATAATAAAAAGCTAGGTTTACGAATTAAAGTTGATCTAATTATATGCAGCTTGATAAAAAAATCATGAAAATAGGGCTAAAAATAACAAAAATATAACACTTTAAATTTGACCAAAAATTTCTTTATTGCGTTTTTATTTGCATCTGAGCGTACATTTAAAAAACATCGGAGCGATATCTTCATGTTCTGTTTTTATAAAATCTTCTGTTTGGTTGTAATGTGTTACGAATATTTTCTTCGTCCACAAATGCGTATCTTTATCCACAAACGTCAGACGTTATCGTCGGGTTCCATTTTTATAAAATCTTCTAGCTTCACATTTCGAGTGGCAGATTCATTTTCGCTATTTCTGAAAACAATAAGAAAATATTTAAAACACAATGGCCGTATCCATTAATAAAAATACTTTTAAAAAACATACTTAAAGTCACCGTGCACCTCTGTCTTCTTAATCGGGGCGACATCTTCGTTCATAATCACATCGACATCTGTTTTTATAAAATCTTCCGATTTTATTTCATTAGTCACAGATAAACATTCAACATTTCTGGAATTAATGAGTTACATTATTATCACTAATTTAGTAAAAATAGACTTAAAAACCATACTTAGAGTCATCCAAAGGCGAAGCGACATCATCAATTTCGATTTTTAAAGCATCTAATATCATTTCTTCATCAGTTGAAGATGTACAATCGGCATTTCTGGAAACAATAAACAATTAAAATGACAAAATATGTGCCTGGACATTTTTGTTCCAATAGAAATATTTCAATAAGTTTTTTTGATAAGTGCCATTATTTTGAATATTTTGAAGTTTTAAAACAGTCACCTTAAATTTAGGGTATTAGAAAAATAATACTCATATTTAAAACCGAGTAAGATCACGTCAAGTGGACCCCCTTTTCCCACTGAGTCATGGAATTCTATTTAATATACAGGGTGGTCCGAACTGCATTCCGGAAACTTATTTTGCAGATAAAAATAAGTAAAAAAGTTCGAATAAATGTGTGTCCTAAAATGCTTAGTTTCGGAGATACAGGGTGTAAAAGTTTCATTTTTATTTCGATTTTTTCTTGTTCACTCTTATTAATATCTTAATTATTAGATATTAATGCATCTGGTATTATGGTAACCTGGTAATATCGTCGATTTTAAAACGAACTAACTGTTTCTATCTTATTTTTTTGTTAGAATGGGCATAATCAAGAGGGCTACTGAAACCGTGTTGTAAAAATAAGGTAATTAAGGGCTTATTTTTTGGCAATTATAATTTTGAAAATATCTTCGATTTGAAAGAAGATATCAAGATGCGGTTTTCGCTGACTTTTTAAGCTTTTACTACTCTTTACTATCAGCTAAAATTACATATACTATCGTATTTAACTTTTTTGAAAAAACGCGCTATGTTTGTTAAATTGTAAGAAAGCGCCCCCTGACGTCTACGTTCAAGACCTTATTATAATTATTTTTATGGTATAATATAGAGTAAGAAACGCTCTTTTAAATGAGCCCTCGTTTGTCGGATTCTGATCATCCAGTCCGGAGTTATTAACATTTAAATAAAGACAGATCTAACCTTCCCCCATCACTTTATTTTAGCAGATAGAGGAAAATGGTTCTGACAAAAAAAATCCAAAATTTACTGAATATTATGAAGCTATTATTTATAGTCGGCCAAATTCTGTAAAAAATTCTATTATCTTATTTTCCATAGCAGTTGCGCCTCTAATAATCACCACACCGACATCTGACTGATACTGATTCTATTTTCTATTCTATTCTACTAGCGGTAGTCCCCACACAAACGTCTTAAAGCCCCGCCCCCTCTCGCACGGAATCTCTCCTCGTATCACTTCCCCTAAACGATGGTAGGGAAAAGACACTTTATCCGTCTCTGTTGCGCTGCAGTATATTTTGCAGCCTTAACATCTTTTTTTTATCGCATAGATAGATATCAAGTTACCAATCCTGTATATGGTGTTATTTCTGATCGCTGATATCTTTGAGACGGTTGATCTGAGGAACTTTGACCTTCAGACGTTTTTTTGTAGAGCGTGAAATCTATACTAATATATAAAATCCTTAAGTGACTGACTCACTGATCAATCACGATCCTGCTCAAAAGCATTTTACATATTTTTACTGCTATAATGAAAAAAATGTATATTTTATGACAACATAACAAAAGTTGTGTATCGATTTTTACCTGTGAAATGTAATTCCAGCCACTTTTTTCTCGCTTCGGCCTTTGCAGCCATACGCTAAACATCTCACCATACTAAACAATACAGTTTATAAATTTAAAACAAAACAGTTGTCACAAAAAACATAAAAATTCGCTCGGTGTCACCTCGAAATCTTGTCACCAAAGTATGGCCGCCGATCGAATTTTGGCCTCACTAACCGATCACGGGAGAATATGCCTGTTACCCGTCCCCTCTCTTTCCTTGTCTAAGGGGGTGACAGTGAAATAGGAAAATTGGAAACGGTCATTAGTGTCATTCCTGTCATCTCCTGACGACAAGTATGGCCGCCTAGACAAGGACAGCAATGTTTCTGTCTAACTATTGTCTAACTTCACAGTGTTTAGAATTGACAGATTTCAGAGACAACTTCAGATTTGTTCTAGAACAAATTTCGACGCCATTTTAATTCTCTCCGTACTCTCCGTTTAGTTTTGTTTTGTAAATTCAATTTGATATTTCGGCAGAAATTTATAAATATAAAGGTAATAAAGCATATAAAATATATATTACATGAAAAATCCTGGAGGAAAAGACGTTTCTGCAGTTCTAGGTATGTCCCTTGTATATTAAAAATAGGTAGTAAATAAACACTATTTCTGTATTTTTTAGATGCAAGAAAATTTAGTTATGTTTATGATCGGCGATTTTTTTGAAAATGGAAACAATTTACAGCTAGGTAAGATCATTTTTAACTATAGCCAACATTAGTTATCTCCAGTATGTGCGATTTATTGTCAATAATGCAATAAATCTGACTGATACAATCTGATTGTTATCCGACTAAAGTCTCTTTTTGCTTCTTTTTGATTTATAAACCTCTTAGGTCTCTTTGGGAATAATGAACGCTTTTTTAAACAGTATATTTATATTTTATACCTATTGATATTTTTACATTGTTAATTTTAGTACAAAAAATTTGTTTTTCTGTTTTCAGGTTTTTGAATAAGGCCTGGCCTGCCCTGCCCCCGTTTTCTGTCCCTGATGGCTGTGAATACGTGTATTTATTTACAAATTACTGTAAGTCATGCTTATAAGTTACTAATTTACGTTAAAATTGCATATAATTAAGTAATTGCTGTAGAAATTATTCAATTCTTTATTTTTTATATTTATTTAGTCACGTTGTCTCATATTTCAAATAAATCTGTTAGAATAAAATTTTGTTTTGTTTTATTTATGATAAGAAAGAGTACAAAATACATTTAAACTGAAAGGGGGCCCGCCATTGAATAACCGGATACGGAAATAAAAATGAAGCCATCATGTCATGCCACCTGTCAATTGGAAAATTAGTTCTCCAGACGACAACGAACGCTTTCGGTGGCGTATCGTGTTTCCACGATTTAACACAGAGTTGACACTTCTTTCTAGTTAATTATTTTATGATTCAAACTGCTGAGGCGTCTGGTATTTTAAATATAATTGAGACATTTAAATTTAAATTCTTATTGGTTTTATGGCGAGAACTACTTAAAAAAATTGATATTTTATCACGATATTTACAAAGTTCAAATTACGTAATTTCCACTGCATCGTCCATGATTAAAAGTACACAAAACTATATCGAATCTATAAGAAATGAAATATCATTTTTTAAATTTTAGGAAGATGCCATAAAACTTGCTACTAAATCAAAAACCTCGACCGTTTGTAATTATTAAGTAAGTATTCATAAAATAAAATAATATTTAAATAACAGTCTGGTAACTCTATAAAACAGGGTTCCTCAAACATATAATATCACGTACCCCACCCTATTATAATTATTATCATTAACAAAATGTTTTTGTTAAAAAATTTAGAACTGAATCATCCGTATGTTGATATTAATTTACCCATACGCTGCAAGCTCACAGAAAACGTCTTTTTTTATTTAAATCATTTTAATGACTTAAGTCGTTTGATTTTACGTCATTTTTCAAAAGCTGACATAAAACTTAAAATTTAAGTCTTTTTGAAAGTGATTTGTGATTTAAATGTTTATTCCGAAATTGAAAAAGATTTAAGTCTTTTTATAAAAGTCTTAGAACTAATCGATATTGCTATCTATACAGGTGAAGATACACGATCTTTCTGCTATCCATCAAATAAAATATATCTGAAAATACCGGGCGTAACAATAATAAATTTACCTGGAATCAATATGATTAGCGCCAAGGTGGTCTTTTAATCTTTGTTTTTCCGTATATTGCTTATCACAGTGTGCACAAGCAAACAACTGTCGTTCATCTGGGGCCAAGTGAATTTTCTGGTGTCGTTGAAAGTGTGATATATAGGGTGTTTGGTAGCTACAAATGGAACATTTATGGAGATTTTTCTGCGCATCCTTGGACCTAAAATAATTTTTAAATATTTCTCTTGTAATTGCTTAAAACAATTCTAAAATGGTAGTGGTAGTTTAACCACTAAGACAAAGATAAAATAGTACCCGAATATACCGGGGGTAACAATAATAAATTTACCTGGAATCAATATGCTTAGCGTCAAGGTGGAATTTTAATCTTCGTTTTTCCGTATATTTCTTATCACAGTGTGCACAAGCGAACAACTGTCGTTCATCTGGGGCCAAGTGAATTTTCTGGTGTCTGTCTAAAGTGTTCCACACGTCGTGTTTGGTAGCCACAAGTGGAACATTTATGGTTATTTTTCCGCGGATTCTTTGACCTAAAATCAATTTTTTTAGTACTTTAATTTTAATTTGATCAGAGAACGTATAGAAGCAATGTCTAAACAATGTATTATAAAAAATAAATTTACCTGGAACTAATATGATTATCCTCCAGGTGGCGTCGTAAGAAATATTTTGTTGTATACTTCTTGTCACAATGCGCACAAGCAAACATCTGTCGTTCTTCTAGTGTCAAATGAATGTTCTGGTGTTGTCTAAAGTGTTCCACACGTCGTGTTTGGTAGCCGCAAATGGAACATTTATGCAGATTCTTTGACCTAAAATCAATTTTTTAGTACTTTAATTTTAATTTGATCAGAGAACGTATAGGAGCAATGTCTAAACAATGTATTACAAAAAATAAATTTACCTGGAATCCATATGATTATCCTCAAGGTGGCGTCGTAAGAAATATTTTGTTGTATACTTCTTGTCACAATGCGCACAAGCAAACGTCTGTCGTTCTTCTAGTGTCAAATGAATGTTCTGGTGTTGTCTAAAGTATACCACATGTCGTGTTTGGTAGCCGCAAATGGAACATTTATGGATATTTTCCTGCAGATTCTTTGATCTAAAATCAATTTTTTTAGTACTTTAATTTTAATTTGATCAGAGAACGTATAGGAGCAATGTCTAAACAATGTATTACAAAAAATAAATTTACCTGGAATCCATATGATTATCCTCAAGGTGGCGTCGTAAGAAATATTTTGTTGTATACTTCTTGTCACAATGCGCACAAGCAAACGTCTGTCGTTCTTCTAGTGTCAAATGAATGTTCTGGTGTTGTCTAAAGTATACCACATGTCGTGTTTGGTAGCCGCAAATGGAACATTTATGGATATTTTCCTGCAGATTCTTTGACCTAAAATCAATTTTTTAGTACTTTAATTTTAATTTGATCAGAGAACGTATAGAAGAAATGTCTAAACAATGTATTAAAAAAAATAAATTTACCTGGAATCCATATGATTATCCTCAAGGTGGCGTCGTAAGAAATATTTTGTTGTATACTTCTTGTCACAATGCGCACAAGCAAACATCTGTCGTTCTTCTAGTGTCAAATGAATGTTCTGGTGTTGTCTAAAGTATGCCACATGTCGTGTTTGGTAGCCGCAAATGGAACATTTATGGATATTTTCCTGCAGATTCTTTGATCTAAAATCAATTTTTTTAGTACTTTAATTTTAATTTGATCAGAGAACGTATAGGAGCAATGTCTAAACAATGTATTACAAAAAATAAATTTACCTGGAATCAATATGATTATCCTCAATGTGATGATGTAAGTTGTGTTTTGTTGTATATTTCTTGTCACAATGTATACAAGCAAATAACTCTCGTTCTTCCGGTGCCAAATGAGTTTTCTTGTGATAGTTAAGATTTCTCTTATGTACCGTTTGCAAGCCACATATGGCACATTTATAGACTTTTTTATCAGTTTTTTTCAATCTAATAAAAGAATATTTCAATATTACAGTCTTGTAACCCTATAAAATATTTTTCATATAAAGTGTTTCATAATAGCCGATAAAAAAGTCAAAGTAAAAAAAGTAGCAGTGGCAACATTGTGACGTGTATTCGTCAAATATTTAGATGACGTGCGCGCCAACTTTTATTGATTTTCCTATAGGCTTGGTGCATTCTCCGCCGGTGCTGCCACAATCGGAGAATATCGGAAAAAACTAGCATATACAAATACACGGGTTTAAATAGCGAGTATATGGAAAATTTATTATTTAATTATTCTAAAAGTGTTAGGAAGTATAATTTGTGAAAATTCTAAAAATAAAAATAAAAAAGTAAATATTTTGATATCTTCAGAAGGTCTGACTTGTATTATAATTTATTATTCCAGTTAAAAAAACTTTTTAGTTGAGTTCAACTATGGTAGCGAGCATAGTTTTAATCACGGACGGCATATAAATCACACGGCAGGCCAACTCGCTTTGGCGGGAACGCTACGCGCATATCCTTGCGCACGCCGCCATTATGGGTGCCAGCAACAAAAATTCATATACGTATTACTTTTTACAAATATACTCAGGGTTCCCTATTTAACCCCGTGTGCAATTTCTGTGCCGTAAGAAAAAGACAACATAACCCAGCTCCATATTAAAACTGCATAAGTCTATTTCACCCGGATATGGATTGAACTGCGATTGCGCCAAACTCCGATTGATTGTTGTTTTAGTTCTGTTTGGATTACTTTTTATTTGTGCGCGTAAAAGAGTGATTTTGTTTAGTTTATTGTTTCCAACTATTTTTTGATATTTTTCCAACTCCATGATAATGTGTCATAAATAATAAAAATATAAATAAAATTGAAGGTTAGGGGAAATGTCAGTCAACCACTTGCCTTTAAAAACATCGACCAATGAAAACTTCTTCAGGTGAGGCATGCTCAGTTAAATGAATATCCGGGTGAAATAGACTTATGCAGAATTCTATATTGTTCTTTCACTGTTTGGGCTTCACTTTTTGGAGATTAGGCTGAGTATATTTGTAAAAAGTAATACGTATATGCAAAAATTAACCAGTGTCGTAGTCAGTCGTAGTTTTTGTCATCGACAACAAACAGTTACGGCTAGTGATGAGCCAAACCGTGATTTTCTGTTCACAGGCTTACCCGTGACAGCGACTTTGTATTAACTGTGACTGCGACTTTATGATTATGAATCCGAAAGCACAATCACGGCTAAAATATAAGATACGATACGAATGACACGATTCTGTTGTTGTTGTTATACTAATTTTTATTTGTCCTTTATCCAAGGCCGCTAAAATAGAAAACATTAAACAGTGGGTAAAAGGTATATTAAAAAATAAATATAAAACAATTTTTTTATTTAAAGAAACCAACAGGAAAAGAGTAAAATATGCAATATGCTCATAACCATAACGAACGAAACTTAACAACACGAGATAAGTAATACATTAAACAACAAATATTTTCCTTTGTATTAAAATAACGAAATATATAAAAATGAAGTTTCCAAAAAATAAACAGTATAAAGGTAAAACTTTATGTTTGGCTTTAAAAAAACCTGCTAAACTAAAAAGGAACCAAACCGATTCGTAGTGATAGAAAATAGTAATAAAATATAAAATACATAAAAAATTAAATCACTTCTAACAGTCACTGTCTTTAGATCACTTTGTCAGATATCTATCCTATGAGACGTACGTCGTGACTCGTGACTGTGAACTGAGTCACAACCGGTGCCATCGGCAGCTGCGTTCGCGACGTCCCGCTCTGTGAAGTATTTTCTCGTTAGCAGAGAAATCACAATTAACTGTAATCGTCACGCTTTAGCAAGTCACCGTTTATTTTCAAATCAGTCACAGGCCGTGACTGTGATTATAGAATATCAGTGACAAAGTCACAGTTGCCGATATTTCACTCATCACTAGTTACGGCAGCTTTGAGTCAGTAGCGTGCGGCTTAATATTTTGTTTTTTTTAGTTTTATTTTTTTTTTATTGATATATTTGGTTTTGGTAGTTTTATTTTCGTTTCTTGTTTGTTATATTTTGTTTTTGTAGTTTTATTTTTGTTTTCCTGAACATTTTTTAATATAATAATGGTTTGGTAGTGTATTTGATATTATATCACTTATTAAGTTTAATAATTCCGTCAAATACAATTTCCTTCAAATGTTTACCTGTGCATGTAGTGTGATAAAAAAAATAAGCTAGGGATTGCTTCTAATTGGTAAAGATACTTACCATAACAACATTAGACACCCGAGCTAGTTGAAACTCTCTGTTCCCCTTCTCCTGGTCCTCAAAACACAAAACCCACAATATTATCACGATCACTATTATAAAACAAGTTGAACTTGATATTCATATCATCAATACATAGAACACAATATCAATTAAGGTCATCCGGTTCATGGAAACTTTCAACTTTGCTTTTTAGAGTCTCAAATACACTAAGATTTTCTAAGTCATGTCATATATTCATTTTCTTAGTGTCTCTGGACGTGGAAGGCAAAATAGATTTGTCAAAAGCGTCTTGTATATTTTTGGCCGGGAAAAGTATATCGCCAGATATCTATATTTAAATTCATGTTTCTTCCTTTAGCTGATTTGTTAATTAGCGAAATTTGAATATTAACAAAATTCAAACCAAAACAGCAAAAGAGTAAAATATGCAATATGCTAATAACCATAACGAACGAAACTTAACAACACGAGATAAGTAATACATTAAACAACAAATATTTTCCTTTGTATTAAAATAAACGAAATATATAAAAAATGAAGTTTCTAAAAAAAATAAACAGTATAAAGGTAAAACTTTATGTTTGGCTTTAAAAAAACCTGCTAAACTAAAAAGGAACCAAACCGATTCGTAGTGATAGAAAATAGTAATAAAATATAAAATACATAAAAAATTAAATCACTTCTAACAGTCACTGTCTTTAGATCACTTTGTCAGATATCTATCCTATGAGACGTACGTCGTGACTCGTGACTGTGAACTGAGTCACAACCGGTGCCATCGGCAGCTGCGTTCGCGACGTCCCGCTCTGTGAAGTATTTTCTCGTTAGCAGAGAAATCACAATTAACTGTAATCGTCACGCTTTAGCAAGTCACCGTTTATTTTCAAATCAGTCACAGGCCGTGACTGTGATTATAGAATATCAGTGACAAAGTCACAGTTACCGATATTTCACTCATCACTAGTTACGGCAGCTTTGAGTCAGTAGCGTGCGGCTTAATTTATTTCATTCTTTTCTCGAGTGATATATTTTGTTTTTTAGTTTTATTTTTTTTTATTGTGTGATATATTTGGTTTTGTAAGTTTTATTTTCGTTTCTTGTGTGTTATATTTTGTTTTTGTAGTTTTATTTTTGTTTTCCTGAACATTTTTAATATAATAGTGGTTTGGTAGTGTATTTGATATTATATCACTTATTAAGTTTAATAATTGCGTCAAATACAATTTCCTTCAAATGTTTACCTGTGCATGTAGCGTGATAAAAAAATAAGCTAGGGATTGCTTCTAATTGGTAAAGATACTTACCATAACAACATTAGACACCCGAGCTGGTTTAAACTCTCTGTTCCCCTTCTCCTGGTCCTCAAAACTCAAAACCCACAATATTATCACGATCACTATTATAAAATAAGTGGAACTTGATATTCATATCATCAATACATAGAACACAATATCAATTAAGGTCATCCGGTTCATCGAAACTTTCAACTTTGCTTTTTACAGTCTCAAATACACTAAGATTTTCTAAGCCAGGTTTGATATCGATGTCATATATTCATTTTCTTAGTGTCTCTGGACGTGGAAGGCAAAATAGATTTGTCAAAAGCGTCTTGTATATTTTTGGCCAGCAAAAGTATATCGCCAGACATCTATATTTAAATTCATGTTTCTTCCTTTAGCTGATTTGTTAATTAGCGAAATTTGAATATTAACAAAATTTGCTACGTCCATTGATGGACATAATTGGTATGCAGCCTCTTTATATTGTTCAACAGATATCTTATTGGGTATTTCTTTAATTCTTGTTTGTAACTCTTGGCATGTTTTTTAATTTTAATTGTCTATTCTCTACAGTTAAATGTTTAATTGATTTTATTATTTTTACTTTTCGAGGAGTATGCGCGCTTTACGATTCATTTGTTTAGATAAAAGTATTGTGTAAATAAAATTCAGTTGCACTCAATTACAGTATTTTTTTTAATACGATCCTGTCTATGAATAGTTTATTTTCTGGGAAATTTTTTGATACGTTTTAATCCGGCCCTGACTCGGCACCTATAATGGTGTTTTCAAGGTCAAATTTTATAGAAATTTTAAACAATGGAATCTGGGCATGATACAAGAAGGTTAGATAAGATCCTTGGCGGTCGCAAATCTGTTCTCCGCACTAGGGTAGTAATTTTCTGTTAAGCTCCGCCAACTCCATGCGCAATATCTTCTCTCAAAAGATCCCTGGCGGTGGCAAATCGGTTCTCCGCGCGCATGACGTCACCCGGATAGTGATTTTCTGTTAAGCTCCGCCCACTACATGCGTAATATCTTATCTAACCCTCCTTGTATCATGGAATCTGGGCAGAGTTAGCCTGCCGTGTGATTTATATGCCGTGGTTTTAATCACCGGTTTTGCTAGTGGACCATAATTGGGGCTATTTCGGCTATAACGAAATTTTTTAAAGGTACATAATTAGAATTTTTGAAGATGTTCATAAAACATTTATTCAGTTGATTAAAAAAAGTATACCATTAATATCGCAAATTATATTTTATCCTTTCATAGTATATGTCTATTTAATTGTTTGTTCATGTAACAAGCGCTTTGTTTACTCACTTGTTTTGTCGAACTGCTTGAATCCATTTTTGCTATTGAGCAAATCGGTGTGAGAAACTATGAAGCTATAAAATGTTGTTTCAGGAGAGTTGAATATCTGAGAAAGTTGAGTTATTGAATGTTATTGCATCCAACAACACCCTAATTATGCTCTCCTTTACGCATTAACATTTTTTTTTGCTATTTTATTAACATTTGAAACTGTCACAACACAACAGGACGCCTAGTTCCAATTCTTTTTCACTTATTTTTTACTACACGAAACAGCTTTACATCACACAAACCTCGTACCTGAGTGTTTGATAGTTTCAATAACTGCACTAGCAAAAAACTATAAATAATATGCAATGAATTCTGATAATTTCTGATTTTTGCCGTGGAAGCGCTACGGTCGGAATAGGTTGATGTCAACTTCCGACAGCAGCGCCTCAACTGCAAAAATCCGGATTAAAATAAACATTTTGTTAATCCTCAAATTTGTTTTGATTAAATTCTTATAAGTGTATGCTTTCCAGTGATATAAACAAAACACCAAATTCAAAGGGATTTATATCAGGCCTTAGACAAGGAAAGAGAATATCTGACAAACACCTTCTATTGTCACAGGTATTGTAAACTGAGATCTAATAAAGAACTACTTTACATTCATACTTACGGTTTTAACTCTATTACTTCGTCTATGTTATCCATCATTTGCAATAGAAAAAGATCAGTAGCTGAAAGAAAAAAAATAACCCGAGATCAGTTCAGCTATAAATCCATCACGGTCACGGTGAATTGAAATTTGTAAGGAGTTTTATCTTGGAGAAGACCAAATACAGAGATGTTATCACTTATTAAACCTAATTCGTTTAATACATATTCAGACAAGTGTAAGAAATAAGTAATATAGGATCTATTAGTATTTACTGTTCCAGTTCCAGTCGATATTTACGAACACTAAAAACGTAAAATTTTCTATACAGAAAACATCGGATATTAGCACTTTATTACCTTATATAGATATGGATTGACCTAAGTTAAGCACAAACATTTAATAAAACCTCTTTGTAAGTGTAAAAATTAAGAAAATATATGAATTTGCAGTATTTCCAGCTAGCAGCCATTGACTTTTGAATTGACAGTTGATCGACGGCAGACGGCAGTGACACCACAGATTAGGTATACTGTGGTGACACTTTACTGCAGGGATGTTTGACTTAAATCGATTCTTCAGAAAATCGATCTTTTGACACACGATTCCTGATTTTTTGAATCAATTATTCTGTATTATTATTATCTACCTGAAATATTAAAATAAACATTAGTTTTTTGAAGAGTTTAATAATATACTCATATAAAATCTTAGGAAAATGTAACAATAAGAGGTTAAAAAATAATATAAAGTAATAATTGTTGTTCTCACCGTAGCGAGTACCTATTTCAAAAACCAAAATAATTTGGCAGCTGATACTAACTACTAATATCTTAAAATTTTATCTTCTACTCCTATCCATGCCCATATATTTATTTTTTCATTTTCCAAGGTTTTCTTGACTTTATGGTGAAGGAATATTTATTTGGATTCAGATTTCCGATAATATTCCCTAGAATGTGCCAAAGCATCCCTTCATATTAAAAAATTACCTATGAATGTAATGATTAATTAAAAAAAATTGCAAATTGATTGTTATCAGTTCATTTCGCTCTTAAAAATTAACCAAAGCATGTATTGACATGCTTTGTATGCATGTATTGACATGAGAAATTTTTGGTCAAATTTAAAGTGTTATATTTTTGTTATTTTTAGCCCTATTTTCATGAATTTTTTAGCAAGCTGCATATAATTATATCAACTTTAATTCGTAAACCTAGCTTTTTATAAACTTTAGTATTTGGTATATTATACAGGGTTAATCGAGTGGTTGTTTTTTTACCTTAACTTTAAAACATCCTGTGCAATAATTTCGTATGTTTACTGCAATATTTCCCTAAATTATAATTTTACGGTCAGAACCACGACTCCTGGGCATTTTGTTTTTTGATTCATGTCAATACATGCTTTGGTTATAATAATATATAAATTAATATTTGGTATAATTCATTTTTAAGAGCGAAATGAACTGATAACAATCAATTTTCAATTTTTTTTAATTAATCATTACATTCTGAGGTAATTTTTTAATATGACGAAATGGCTTTGGTACATTCTAGGGAATATTATCGGAAATCTGAATCTAAATATATCTTCCTTCACCATAAAGTCAAGAAAATCTTGGAAAATGAAAAAATAAATATATGGACATGGATAGGAGTAGAAGATAAAATTTTAAGATATCAGTAGTTAGTAGCAGCCGTAGCAGCTGCCAAATTATTTTGGGTTTTGAAATAGCTACTCGCTACGGTGAGAACAACAATTATTACTTTATATTATTTTTTAACTTCTTATTGTTTATTGTTACATTTTCCTAAGGTTTTATATGAGTACATTATTATATTCTTCAAAAAACTAATGTTAATTTTAATATTTCAGGTAGATAATAATAATACAGAATAATTGATTCAAAAAATCAGGAATTATGTCAAAAGATCGATTTTCTGAAGAATCGATTTAAGTCAAACATCCCTAAAGTGTCACTGCCGTTGATCAACTGTCAATTAAAAAGTCAATGGCAGTGTTGCCGCAGTGGTACATTTGTACCAAATTTGATACTTTTAATTCTATTGGTACAGTGGTACTACATTTTCAAATCAAGGATGTTTTGGTACAGTAATTATTTCCTACGCGCACCGAAAATGAATAGATATTTAATAATTTTTGTCGTTGCTATCCTACTCGCTTTACCGACACAATTCGGAGACAATCCGCATTAATTATGTTGTAATGTCTATAGGGTTGCCTATATTAAATAACCCGAAAAAAACTTGGAAATTTGCTGTTTCTGATATGCTTCTATATTTGCGTTTTTTTTTTAATAAAATTTAAGTTTTCCAAGTATCGTGTGTAGTATTAGAATTACTTAGATTTCTTCAACCTGTACTTAAAATTGGGGTTTCTAAATTTCTATTTCATGTTTTTCGTCTCGATTTGTGTCTTTCTCCATGAATTTTTTTTTATGAAGAAATTTATGAAGAAATTCACAACGACCAAACCGCTTAAAGTCATTTGCAGATGAATTTTGTTGTGCTTTAAAAAATTGTACCAAAGTGGTACATTTTTAGCAAGTATAGAATTATAATAGAATGTGGTAAGCGCTAAAAGTAGGGTGCGGCAACACTGGTCAATGGCTGCTAGCTGGCATGGCTGGCATAAAATAATTAACTAGCATATATTCTGTGTTAACTAGAACATTTTAGGCTGGAACACAGGCTGGAATATTTTATGGCTGGAACTGGAAACACTGCCGTTCTTTAAAAGAAGGCACTTGTGAAGGCACTGCTGGAAATACCCGGAATACTGCAAATACACATATTTTCTTAATTTTTACAATTACAAAGAGGTTTTATTAAATGTTTAGGTATGCTATGGGTATGCTTAACTTAGGTCAATCCATATCTATATAAGGTAATAAAGTGCTAATATCCGATGTTTTCTGTATAGAAAATTTTACGTTTTTAGTGTTTGTAATATCGACTGGAACTAGAACAGTAAATACTAATAGATCCTATATCACTTATTTCTTACACTTGTCTGAATATATATTAAACGAATTAGGTTTAATAAGTGATAACATCTCTGTATTTGGTCTTCTCCAAGATAAAACTCCTTACAAATTTCAATTCACCGTGACCGTGATGGATTTATAGCTGAACTGATCAAGGAACTGATCTCGGGTTATTTTTTCTCTTTTAGCTACTGATGTTTTTCTATTGGAAATGATGGATAACATAGACGAAGTAATAGATTTAAAACAGTAAGTTGAATGTAAAGTAGTTCTTTATTAGATCCCAGTTACCAATACAAGGTGTTTGTGAGACATAAATCCCTTCAAATTTGGTGTTTGGTTTATATCACTTGAAGCATACACTTATCAGAATTGATTATGCGAAAAAATTAATTATTTAATTATTAGTAGTATATGTGAAAATTCTAAAATTAAAAATAAATAAATATTTTGATATCTTTAGAAGCTCTAACTTGTATTATAATTTATTATTTCAGTTAAAAAACTTTTTAGATGAGTAGTTAACTAGGCGTCGTGTTGTGACAGTTTCAAATGTTAATAAAATTGCCGAAAAAATGGTAACGTGTAAGGAGAGCGTAATTAGGGCGTTGTTAGGTGCAATAACATTCAATAACTCAACTTTCGTGGATATTCAATTCTCCCGAAAGTATTTTATAAGAGTATATTATTTCATTTATATTCTTCATAGTTTGTCACACCGATTTAATCAATAACAAAAATGGATTCAAGCAGTTCGACGAAACAAGTGAGTAAACAAAGCGCTCGTTACATAAACAAACAATTAAATATACATATACTATGAGAGGATAAAATATAATTTGCGATATTAAAATGGTATACTTTTTTAATCAACTAGTGATTAAATGTTTTATGAACATCTTCTAAAATTCTAATTATGCACCTTTAAAAAATTTCGTTATAGCCGAAATAGCTCCAATTATGGCCCACTACCATGGCCCATAAGTCTATAGGAAAATCAATAAAAGTTGGCGCGCACGTCATCTAAATATTTGACGAATGCACGTCACAATGTTGCCACTGCTACTTTCGTTATAGGATTGTAATATTTAAATATTCTTTTATTAGATTGAAAGAAGCTGATAAAAAAGTCTATAAATGTGCCATAAGTGGCTTTCAAACGCTACATAAGGCAAGTCTTCAAAAACACAAGAAAACTCATTTGGCACCGGAAGATCGAAAGTTATTTGCTTGTATACACTGTGACAAGAGATATATATCAAAACAAAGCTTACGTCATCACCTTGAGGATAATCATATTGATATTGTTTCCAGGTAAATTTATTTTTTGTAATACATTGATCATATACAGGCACATTCCCACGACTCGTCTACTTGGCAAGTATTTTTTATTGGCATACAGGGTCTAGCGGGAATGCGGCGTAGTTCCTATAATAAATAACTCAGAAATTCGGTATAGATGGCCGACGCACTATGTATACCCTGTATACCAATTACAAATGTTTGTCAAGTACACCGAGTCGTGAGAACGCGCCATACAGTTTTCTGAATTTTTTTTTATTTATTGACTTTGGGGTTAGTTTTTTGTAGTAGTGGGAACTATCGAATGAATACTATCGAAACATTCGATAGTTGCAATTCATTCGAATAATTCGATAGCTAGTAAGAAAACATTCGTTGAAAACTATTCGAATAAAAATTATCGAATAGACGCGTCATCTGCCTTGAAATATTGTATTCTAGTAATTCGGCAGCAAAAACCATTCATTTATAAAATTCATTCATTTACGAAATTCATTTATTCGTCAGGATCGATTATAATAAAATATTAACTGGATTTTAGTTGTCGCCCGGCGACGTAGCTTTCTTTCCGAGGAAGCCGACAGCGGTCGGTGGCAATGCTATGAAAGAAGGGGGCATCTTTGATTTTTTGCGGAGTAGATAAAGATAAGGACACATTATTTTTTTTATTGAGGTGCTAGTATTTACACAAAAACTACATTATGAAGGGCGCTGTTGCCATATATTGGTATTAGTTGATATTAGCAAAGAATATTATTGTCTGGCTTTAGTTAGTTAGGGATAGTACGTCTATATATTTTGCATTTTTTTTATTAATATTCTGTTGTTACACTGCAATAATACTTGTTATTTTGGATGTAGGAAAATGATTTTTAATGCTTTTAAGCATAAGTTTAATAAATAATAATAACAGTAATAATTTGTTATACCTACTAACGACAAAATTTAAAATCATTTAATATAAACATTTTTTTAAGTAGTGGCAAAATATAAACAACAAATTAGATGTAAAAATTATTTATATTAGATCCTATTTAAAAATAATATAGACTCTAAATTTTTGGGCAACGGTTGTTTTTTAAATAATAATAATTACAGAACTAATTTGTTATATTAACAACAAATTTTAAAATCATGAAATATCAACATTTATTAATTTTCTAAGCATGCAGTGTAATGGATGGAAAATATAAATAAAAAATTAGAAATCAAAATTATTTATATTAGGTGCTTTATATTACTATTTAAAAATAATATTATTTATTTTTACTGGCATTTACTTTAAAAAAAAATGAAATATTTCTTCGCAAAAAACTACATGTAAGAGAATTAGCATAAACAAAATACAAACATCGTTAACTTTTTTTTAAAATTGGCACGTGTAAAACTTTCAATTTAATTTTCTCACCCCATAGTTTGAGTTCGATAACCATTTATTTAACCACATTACTTAAATATGATTATTAAGTTCAGCTAATTCATATTATTAAAACATTTAAAATACAAATATCTATTTTTAAAATTAATTGTAAGTTCATCTCATCTCTCTTAAAAATTGCTACTTCTCAAAATTTTCCATTAAAAAATAGACCATATATCATATAAAATTAAATAATTGAAAGATCGGGCTACGGAAAATCACAAAATTTTCGGAAAAATGTTGACCACCTGCACACGCACACAATCGTCAATTAAAAAAAACTACTATTTTAGTATTTTAAATATTTTAATAAACGCAAAAATAGCACAGTATTTATACGCCGAAGTTATAAAAATTTGCAAGAACTAATAATGCACTGACGCACACAAAAATCAAACGGATACTAAATTTCATTTATCAAAAGCATTCGATAGTCGTGGCTCAACGATAACCATTTAGTGGCACGGCGAGGTTGTCACGTATGCTTTAGTATACAAATGAATGAATGATTTTATTCGAATAAAACCATTCGATAGTTGAAATAATTCATTCAGTAACCATTCGATAGTCTAATTCATTCGATTCTTCCCATCGCTAGTTTTTTGCTCTAAAATAGAAAAAATAACAAAATAAAATGTACACACATGGCCAAAATTATTGCATATAACAATATTTTTATTTTATTTTGGACCTAATATGATTCTTTTTATATTTTTGGACATATTGGCTTACTACACGACTAACTAATACAAAATTAAAAATCTAAGTGCAACTAGGCTGTTATTATAATTTTATTTCATAATGAGTGAAAATCAACAAAAACAAATTTCATTTTAAACAGAAAATATTGAAAACAATTTTAATTATTTCTCTCAACTAATAGGCTGTATTGCTTCCTGGAGCCTGAATGCAAGCTGTGAGACGACGCGACGTGGCATGCTCTCAATTAAGTTGTCCAGAAGATGTTGAGGAATGGCTTCCCATGTTTCGCGTGCAGCAATTTTCAGTTCGTTTATCCTTTTAGACCATTCCTTTTGGCAGTATGGCGTTTTAGCATGTAGCATTGCGTCGTGCAATTAGGGATATTTGACCGTCTTGCACAGCAGTAGTAACTCTCTTCCAGGCCGGTCTGTAACCTCGTTTGTCTCCCTGAATTAGCGATGGGAACTATCGAATGAATTAGACTATCGAATGGTTAATGAATGAATGATTTCAACTATCGAATGGTTTTATTCGAATAAAATCATTCATTCATTTGTAAACTAAAGCATATGTGACAACCTCGCCGTGCGACTAAATGGTTATCGTTGAGCCACGACTATCGAATGCTTTTGATAAATGAAATTTAGTATTCGTTTGATTTTTGTATGCGTCAGTGCATTATTGGTTCTTCCAAATTTTTATAACTTCGCCGTATAAATACTGTGCTATTTTTGCGTTTATTAAAATAGTTAAAATACTAAAATAGTAGTTATTTTTTAATTTTATTTATTGACGATTGTGTGCATGTGCAGGTGGTCAAAATTTTTTCGATAATTTGTGTGGTTTTCCGTAGTCCGATCTTTCAATTATTTAATTTTATATGGTATATGGTCTATTTTTTAATGGGAAATTTTGGGAAGTAGCAATTTTTAAGAGAGATGAGATGAACTTACAATTAATTTTAAAAATACATATTTGTATTTTTAGATGTTTTAATAATACCTATGAATTAGTTGGAACTTAATAATTATATTTAAGTAATGTGGTTAAAATAAATGGTTATCGAACTCAAACTATGGGGTGAGAAAATTAAAATGAAAATTTTACGTGCCAATTTAAAAAAAGTTAAGGATGTTTGTATTTTGTTTATGCTAATTCTCTCTTACATGTAGTTTTTTTGCGAAGAAATATTTCATTTATTTTTAAAGTAAATGCCAGTAAAAGTAAATATAATTTTAAATAGTAATATAAAACACCTAATATAAATAATTTTGATTTCTAATTTTTTTATTTATATTTTCCTTCCATTACACCGCTTGCTTAGAAAATTAATAAATGTTTATATTTCATGATTTTAAAATTTGTTGTTAATATAACAAATTAGTTCTGTAATTATTATTATTTAATAAACCAACGTTGCCAAAAAAATTAGAGACTATATTATTTTTAAATAGGATCTAATATAAATAATTTTGACATCTAATTTGTTGTTTATATTTTGCTACTACTTAAAAAATATTTATATTAAATGATTTTAAATTTTGTTGTCAATAGGTATAACAAATTATTACTGTTATTATTATTTATTAAACCAGTCTTTGTAAAACATTAAAAAATAATTTTCCTACATCCAAAATAACAAGTATTATTTGCAGTGTAACAACAGAATATTAATAAAAAAATGCAGAATATATAGACATATTATCCCTAACTAACTAAAGCCAAACAATAATATTCTTTGCTAATATCAACTAATACAAAAATATGGCAACAGCGCCCTTTCATAATGTATTTTCTATGTAAATACTAGCACCTCAATAAAAAAATAATGTGTCATATCTATATATGACTCACCAAAAAATCAAAGATGCAGAAACTTCTTTCATAGCATTGCCACCGACCGCTTTCTCGGAAAAAAACCTACGTCGCCGGGCGACAACTAAAATTCAGTTAATATTTTATTATAATCGATCCTGACGAATAAATGAATTTCATAAATGAATGAGTTTTATAAATGAATGAATTTTATAAATGAATGAATTTTATAAATGAATGAATTTTATAAATGAATGGTTTTTCCTGCCGAATTACTAGAATACAATATTTCAAGGCAGATGACGGATCTATTCGATAATTTTTATTCGAATAGTTTTCAACGAATGTTTTCTTACTGACTATCGAATTATTCGAATGAATTGCAACTATCGAATGTTTCGATAGTATTCATTCGATAGTTCCCACTACTACCCTGAATTTTTTTAATATTCGCGAAACATCGCGAAAAAATCATGATTTTTTAAAAAAAATCAGATTTTTATTTTATTTTAATCGAAAACAATATTTAAATTGGATTCTCAAATAATTAGGACTTAATTCCAATTAAAGTCCTATCCTAAATGGCTAAATATTTATAACTCTACCCTATACATTAACAATTCTACGGCACGTGTCCAAGGTTGGCAAATATCATGATATTTATATAAATATCAAATATCGGATATATATCCGATATATATCTGATATATATCCGATATATATCAAGTTTTGATATTTATTTTGGTTTTTATTTTTTATGTAAAACTGCGTTTAGTATGAAGTAAAATTAAGCAAATATTTTTATGAGTTCAAGCAAATATTGCACTACTACTACTACTTTGCTTACAAGCAAAAATACACTACTAAGTCAACTTAATTATTGTTGCTTTGCACATAATAGGAACAACATTAAAACAAAAATGTATAAAAAATATACAGAAATTCTAAAAAAATAAACAGAACTTCTAAAAAATAAACAGGAATTCTAAAAAATAAACAGAAATTCTAAAAAATATACGGAAATTCTAAAAAATAACCAGGAATTCTAAAAAATAAACAGAAATTCCAAAAAATAAATAGATATTCTAAAACTAACAACAAACAAATTTATACCGTGCTGGCAACTGTTACTTTTTGGTCGGCATTTACATGTGTGGAAGTAAATCGCATAGGGATCTTATTAAGTCGGAGTGAGAGAAATGCGATCGACCGACGCGACGCGCGACGGTGTGCTGTTGCGGCGTTGCCGATACGCCTTTCCCTATCAAGTAAAGTAAAATCGCAATCGCAAACCGCTTATTTTTAAAAGACTTTTTTTTCAAGAGATAACTAGATAAAATCATTAGACATGTTTCTGTGCATCTGAAATGGAATTATAAGGATATCGTTATGGTGTCATTTTTTTTATAACGAGAAAACGTCAGTAATCGCGATAATTTAAAAACTCAATTTTTAACACGTAACAGCTCAAGAACCACTTTAGATATTGAAACTTTTTTTATTTTTAAGATCGGATATTTTACAATATGTTTACATAAGAAAAATTCGATAAGGTTGTTTTTTCCATTCAAAAATTGTAAACTATTCATCCATTTACTTTTAGAGCATAGCAATTTTCAGCAATCGTGTAATTTTTTTATTGAAAAAGATTTTCACATACTGTCTACAAAGAAAATACAGCAGAAATATTAACAAAGTTCTTGAAAAAACTACAATCTATTATTTCTAATAGATTTCGAGATCGATTTTTGAATTCAGACTTCTAATAGCGCGACCACTATCGAACACCCACTCAATTCCACTTATTTTTACCAAAAATGCAATGTTTCTAGCTTGCACTTAAAAAAATTCAGGCTATAGGGAAAATTATAACGACTCGTTTATAAATATACAAATTAAGTATCACGAAACGTAATTAAATCGTGAAGCTGAACGCATGACGTACACCTTTCCCTAGAACTTTAAGTACTGACAGAGGTATTGATTGGGTCGACCGGTCAACTGCGACAAATCTGCTATATCCCCTTGCACGTCTCTTAGCGATGTGCACAGTTTCTCGGTTTATTTCATACGTTTGGCAACGTGTTTACTGTCCTCTCTTTGTTCAGTACATTATAAACGCATTGTACTCTTCTTACATACGGAAATCTCGACCCAAGACTCACCTTTGCCAGCCCTGAGTATAATGGTTATCAATAACTCACGACAACCATTCTAGATGCGTTTAGGTTGTATAATATGGTGTTGGGAAGGTTCCTAACACACTTATAAAACAAAAAATGTTTCTTGGGAGTTGAGTTAGAGATGACGATCGACGACATTTTTCATAAATTTTTACAGATAAAGTGTTCGTAATTTTTAAACCATCTCTATCACCTACTTACAATGCAATTCAACTATATTTATCTTTTTCTTAGTGGTTAAGCTACCACTACCATTTTAGAATTGTTTTACGCAATTACAAGACAAATATTTAAAAATGATTTTAGGTCCAAGGCCGCGCGGAAAAATCTCCATAAATGTTCCATTTGTGGCTACCAAACAAGAAAAATATCATGCTTTGAACGACACCGGGAAACTCACTTGGCACCAGGAGAACGACAGATGTTTGCTTGTGTACACTGTGAAAAGAAATGTTCGGAAAAAAGGAGATTAACAGACCACATTATCGATAATCATATTTATCATATTGATTCCAGGTAAATTTATTATTGTTAGCATAATGGTGCGTTTAGACTTGAGCACGGACGCACTGATCCTCCGCGAATGCTCAAGTGTAAACGGCTGTGCGCGCACGCTCACTCTGAACCTCTCTATGCGCGAGCAGCCGCGAACGTAATATAGTCTGTCTAACGAGAAGATCCTTGACAGTGATAGATGTGTCTGTCATTTTAATTTAAAAGTAGTTTATTTTATTTTACAAAGAAATAAGTTGGTACAACTGGAACGCATAGCAGGAAATTAATATATGTATTTAAAATTTGACTGACAAGTAACTTCAAAATATTGTGAAAAAAACTGTATAAAACTGAAAAAATGTAATCGAGTTATTTTATTTAATAAAAAACGGTATGTGTTAATACAAAACAAACAAAAACAAGACACCACATACCAAAAAATATAAAAAAGAACTATTTCTTACTTTCAAGCTTTGTGAAACTTCCCGCATTTATGATTATATTTATCAGTATAACTTATGTACAAATACAAATTTGTAATATTCCGCAGGAATAAATAAAACAACATAAATAAAACAAACTATTTTATTAATAATAACACTTACCAAATTTTATACCTCACAGGTTGATTAATTAACTTTAATCTTAATTTTTTTAAACCAGTACCTTTTGACATTATTTTTCTGCAGTACTAAAATCCATTATTTACCTATCGTATGATGTCGATATTTTACAGCTACTCCAGTTTTTAGTATGTGTTTAGTATGGTCCTTCTACCATATTCGAGATGCACTTATCTACGACGAGATGGTATACGAACTTTATTGATAGTAACTTTATTGGTGTATCTGTATAAGACTTTCTGCCTGGGGAGCGAGTATTAACTATAAACTGTGCTCTGGGTTCTACAGTTAATTTTCACTCGATTTTTCCTCCACTTGACTTCAAAAGACCCAAAACACTCGTAATAACACGAATTAAAATGCATCATCTTCCAAAACGCAGGGTATTTGACAAAAGTTGTCACAAAGTTATAACCTATAATTTGGCAAGACTTTGACAAACGTCAAAAATCTAAAGGCGAGTTCATACGCATCGGCGTCCGTTTGTCGTTCATCGTTCCGTCAAACCAATAAAATTGAAATACGATCTGTCATTTTTGAAATAAACCAATAAAACTGGTTAAAAACAACAAGTGACGACGCATGACGAATTTATATTTAAACCCATCCATAGTTAACTTAAAAATTATTAGAAACTTTTTTTAGTAAAATAAATAGATTGGTATGGGACGTCATCTGCTTTTCTTCTGTCATCGTCTGTCGAAATCTTACCTGAGAAAAAAAAACAGAGTATAGTGCGTTTAGACTTGAGCACGCACGAGTTGAGCGTGCTCGCACGACATTCGTTCGCGCTCTCGGCTCCGTTCAAATTAAAAACTTATTTTTCGACGAATGAAGTGATCCATTTGTGCGCGCACAGCAGAGTTGTGTTGGCGAAAATAATGGACGACCAAGAAATAGTCGAGGCTGCAGTCACTGTTATGCACAGCTTAATTATTAAAAAGAAGAAACATCGAAAACATCGATCGTCGCTGGTGGCAAACCCAAATTTTTAGAAATATATAATTTACTGCAACAACTTAGTGTCTGAGGAGGGCTATGATCAGTTCAAAAACTTTACAAGACTGACCAGGCCCGACTTTGAATATTTACAAATAATTTCATTAATATCGACATATTCAATATTAATTTTATTTACGAGGTTTTGCCATGCGTTTTATTATTTTTTTTTAGATTTTTTTATAATACTAAGAGTGTTTAACGTTCCATAATATAGGCAACTTTTCATATTTTTCAATTAATAATAAGGAAGATTCATTGATCCACGATCCACTCCATAATTTTAATAAAGAAAACGAAAAAAAAAATCACACACGCACTCACGAACGCAGACAAAACAAACGTCAAGCGCTTTAAGCAGGATCGTGATTAATCAATGACCAGGTTTTTGGAAACATCCTGTATACATTTTTAAAAAATCTTAAAATATGTAAAAAAACAAAATAAAATATACGTGTTTAAGCGTTTTGTCGGAAACTTGACCGTTTTTTAAATAAAAAATATTGTAATATTTGAGGGGCGGTTTCACCCTCTTGGAACTGGAATTTCGAAAAATCCCTTCTTATCGAACCTCTACACCCTAGAATCAACCTGTATGCCAAAATTGAGCTTTTTACGTTGAGTGGTTTGAGCCGGATCGTGATTAATCAGTATGCCAGTCACTCAAGGATTTTATACATCAGTATAGATTTCCAGAAATGTTTTGCGAAATGTTAATGTGTTAATTGTTGTAACTATAATATTTTTTACTTCTTTGGGACACTCTGTATCTTGTAAAAATATTTTTAAATTGTAGCTGTTAATATTTCCGGAAATATTTCGTAAAATATTTCGCGGATAGTGTAGCGGCTGTTTACTATTTAAGTTTTATTTTATTAGATTGAAGGTAGGACAGAAAATAATCTATAGATGTTCCACATGTAGCTACCAAACCAAAAACATGTCCAATCTTAAAAGACACAAGGATATTCACTTGGCACCGGAAGAACGACAGATATTTGCCTGTGCGCAGTGCGACAACAAATATACATCAAATAAGAATTTACTACGTCACGTCAAGGACAGTCACATTTATTACAGGTATAAAAAAAATCTAAAATGTCAATATTCCATGGGTATAGTGATAAATAAGATCTAAATTATATGAAAATGGATAAGTAAACAATGGTATAATACAATTTGATAGACAACTAAATTTTGCATCTGATTCGCTTAAAAATACAGGGTGTTCCATTTAAATTAAACAAGTTATTAAAGCTAGTAATTATTTAATATAAATTTTTGGACACTCTGTATAAGGCAGTATAATTTTTATTATTGCAACACAAAATTTGACCAGTAAATAATCTTCAGTAAACATTTAGTATTAAAAACTTTGATACCCTTGAAGAAATGAAGCCTTGAAATTTTTACTGCAATTTCATAAAATTGAAAATATTTCAAAAACGGTAAGGTTTAAGTGTGACAAACCTTAATCAAATTTATCTTTATTTCAATCGTAGAATCTAAAAATGGAATAATATACAGGGTGCTCCACTAAAAAAAATACAACTATAATATTTTTACTTATTAGTATTTTAATAAAGCACGCTTTTAGATGTTTCAAAAAACTTTTAATAAGAGTAACTTTAACTCTACATATATGTTTCGGCTTGTTAGGCCTTTTTCAAGAGTTTTTTAAGAACTAATCGTCTAACTACACTGTAACTATATATATATTTGCTATGGGGGTGGGTTCAGAGAGTTTACAATAGGGGCAATAAAAATGTGTTTAGAAATCCTTGTTGGTCGTTAACATTATTTTCGTTTTTAACAGATTTTAGTATTTCTAACTGTTCAATGTAATTTAAACGTCTACCTTTTGTTTCTCTGTGTAGTAACTTAATTGAGTTTTCATTAATTTTGTGATTATTTACTATACAATGAGTTGCAAGACCAGAACTATGCTGGAGATTATTAATATACTTTACATGTTCTTTAATCCTTATATCTAAATTTCTACCTGTTTGGCCTATGTACACGGCATCACAGTATTGCAATCCACCCTATATACACCCGACTTATTTTTGACATTAGTTTTGTCTTTATTATTTAATAAAATTTGACCTAAATTTCTTTTATTTACGTTAATAGTTTTACATCCTATTTTATTGAGATTATTTGATATTTTGTTAGTTAAATTAGGAATGTAGTTTAAAGGTTGATAATTGTTATTGTCTTTAGAATTAGCGGATTAAAAATTTTTCATTAATATTCTCTTTTGTTTTTTCTTTAGCATATTATCAATAAGAGAACACTTATATCCATTGTTGATGGCGATTTGTTTAATAATATTTAACTCTTTTTTAAAATTCTCTGGGCTCAGTGGAAACATTACTAATCTATGAATTAAACTATGAAAGGGTGACATTTTGATTTGCCAGGATTGGTGTGATTGACTATGTATTACAGTGTGTGTGGTAGTGGGGTTTCTGTAAATATCAAATTGTAATCTATTAGACTCTTTTATAATTGTAACATCAAGAAAATTGATGGTATTAATACCTTTTTCAATAGTAAATTGTATTCTCGGATTAATTGAATTTATTAATGTTAAAAAACTGTTTAAATTTCTCTCGGTGCCTGACCAAATACAAAAAATGTCGGTGAAATTGGGGAACCCATCGGTAACCCATTTCACCGTTATTCGCAGAAATATTTATGGCAGATTTTGAAAAGAAGCTATTTAAAAACAAGAGTAGTTTAATATCAAAAATAAATTATTGGGCAAGATATGTAGATGACATTTTTTGTATTTGGTCAGGCACCGAGAGAAATTTAAACAGTTTTTTAACATTAATAAATTCAATTAACCCGAGAATACAATTTAGTATTGAAAAAGGTATTAATACCATCAATTTTCTTGATGTTACAATTATAAAACAGTCTAATAGATTACAATTTGATATTTACAGAAAACCCACTACCACAGACATTGTAATACATAGTCAATCACACCAATCCTGGCAAATCAAAATGTCACCCTTTCATAGTTTAATTCATAGATTAGTAATGTTTTCATTGAGCCCAGAGAATTTTAAAAAAGAGTTAAATATTATTAAACAAATCGCCATCAACAATGGATATAAGTGTTCCCTTATTGATAATATGCTAAAGAAAAACAAAAGAAAATATTAATGAAAAATTTTTATTCCGCTAATTCTAAAGACAATAACAATTATCAACCTTTAAACTACATTCCTAATTTAACTAACAAAATATCAAATAATCTCAATAAAATAGGATGTAAAACTATTAACGTAAATAAAAGAAATTTAGGTCAAATTTTATTAAATAATAAAGACAAAACTAATGTCAAAAATAAGTCGGGTGTATATAGGGTGGATTGCAATACTGTGATGCCGTGTACATAGGCCAAACAGGTAGAAATTTAGATATAAGGATTAAAGAACATGTAAAGTATATTAATAATCTCCAGCATAGTTCTGGTCTTGCAACTCATTGTATAGTAAATAATCACAAAATTAATGAAAACTCAATTAAGTTACTACACAGAGAAACAAAAGGTAGACGTTTAAATTACATTGAACAGTTAGAAATACTAAAATCTGTTAAAAAACGAAAATAATGTTAACGACCAACAAGGATTTCTAAACACATTTTTTATTGCCCCTATTGTAAACTCTCTGAACCCACCCCCATGTAAAATATATATATAGTTACAGTGTAGTTAGACGATTAGTTCTTAAAAAACTCTTGAAAAAGGCCTAACAAGCCGAAACATATATGTAGAGTTAAAGTTACTCTTATTAAAAGTTTTTTGAAACATCTAAAAGCGTGCTTTATTAAAATACTAATATTTCAACGATGTTTCACAAGGAACCAACCACAGCTTCAGTACAATTTATTTTTTACTTATTTAGGACACTCTGTATCTTGTAAAATTATTTTTAAATTGTAGCTCTAATAGTCCTTCGACGAAGCCAAAACTTATTTGTAAAAATCTTATCGTTTAATCGCAATACTCCGTGTCGTATGTGGTGAACAATCCTGTATATTCTTTTGTTAGATCGAAAGAAGCTGAGAAAGAAGTCTATAAATGTGCCATATGTGGCTATCAAACGCTAGATAAGCCCAATTTTTACAGACACGAGAAAATTCACATGGCACCGGAAGACCGACAGTTGTTTGCGTGTGTACACTGTGATAAGGAATATACAACAAAACAAATCTTACAACGTCACCTTGAGGATAATCATATCGATTCCAGGTAAATTTATATTCGTGTAGCTAGGGTGTTTCAAAATAAAAAAACTCTTATGGTGTTGATAATAGGTAGGGGTCATAGACTTAAAATAAAATATAGACTACACTATTTACATCTCAACGCGGCCAAACAATCTTTTTTGTACACATGTTTACTTCTGGGTACAGTCGACCAAGCCTTCCTCATCCAGCCTATGTTGTCACGTCTTTAATATTATCAATATTTTTTTTTTCTTGTTATACACATATATTGAGATATTAGTACTACATTTTAATATAAAAAAATTAATATATTAAATAGTCCTTATACTACTAAGTTATAAGTCGGATACTGTTTAAAAAGGATAAGTTCTTTACAATATGACAATACCGATTAGAGGCGAGGGAGCCTATTCATTCATTTATTACCTTGTAGTACGCGTCGCACGTGTGCGGTAAAGCTTTGTTGCCGCTATGTCCCCGGCTGTATTAACGCATTTTCTTAGCTTGTAGTCCTTAAGTGTTTATTTTATTAACTTTTTCTGTTCAAGAACTATAAAATATGGTTCGCCAGTGCCAAATTTGCAAGAAATTTGACTTAAATAATCCATTTAAGTCTTGAAACGACTTTCGACCGGTAGGCTACTCTCAATTTACCCATTGGGAGTCAGTGGCGTTGTCGTAGAAAGGCGCTTATTTAGATAATATTTTAGTAAAATGTAAAATCTTAATTTTTTCTCTTACATTACATTATTTACTTGTGATTGTAACAAAATCATAATTATAACCCTGTTAATAATTAATAAGGTTTTTATTAAAAATATATTCCGGTTTATTCTATAATTATCTTCAGAATCTAAAATAACATACAAGAATTTTAAAATGATATTACATTATGAAACAATATTTTTTCATATACCGGGTCGTCTCAAAAGTGGCTCACCCCCACTTTTTTATTTTTTCAGATAAAAAAAAACAGATTTGTATGTTAGTAGGTATATGACATAAATTAGGATTGATTGACGTATTCAATTATTTTCGGTCTCTTCCTGTTTCACCGAAATGATTACATCTTTTGATTTTTAAAGGCACCCTCGGTATATTGCTACTTTATCCGATAAAAAATGACACTCTGAATAGAATGACATATCATATGTCAACTTTTGACATTGTCGCTTAAATACAAATAGTATTTTAAATTTCAATCCAGGATGCCATGGTGTTGTTAAAAACACTAAGTTTTAATCAAGGATCGAGCCTTGGAAAAATAGTTTTGATGGTCTAATAGGTTTGGTGTCTTGTCTTAGCTGGTTAAAAGATGTACAAATCGTATTTTTAATCATACATATGTCAATTTTTTCAAATGGAACAAGGGTGACTCATTAGCATATTTAGAAAAAGCATTTTTTTTATGAATATATTGGTATTATTTGGTATTTCGAGTCACACACTTGGTATTTCGAGTCAAATTGTCGTTATGAACCGCGTGTTACAATTACAATTAAACCATATGCGAAAATGTCAAAAGTTGACATATGATATGTCATTCTATTCAGAGTGTCTATCGAATAAAGTAGAAATATACTGAGGGTGCCGTTTAAAAATTAAAAGTCATAGTCATTTCCGGTGAAACGGGAAGTGACCAAAAACAATTGAATGCGTCAATCAATCCTAATTTATGTCATATACTAACATACTAAATCTTCTTTTTTTATATGTAAATATAAAAAAAATTATGGGGATGAGCCACTTTTGGGACGCAACCGGTATAATAAAGACAGTACCGAGTTAAATAAATGTAGTTTTCATTTTATCCACTTCCTATCACCTTCCTTGCTTTAATTGAACAGATTTATGTTTTCTCTAATTTACATAATAAGACATCACTTAACCAGAAAAAAAATTACAACAATCATATATTTCTTTTTCTATTATATCTGTGGAATAGATCCTGTTTTGATTAATATTAGGGGTTGTAAATGTTTGACTAAAATTAATAATTTATTATGAATTTCAAAAATTACCGTAATTTCGATTATAAAATTTCTTCTATAACGTGTATTTTATTATTTTTATCCTTTTTGGACTCAAGACGTTTTTTCTAAACTTTTATTTAAAAAAAAACCTGGCCTAAATCTTAATAAAATATAAAAAAGTTTAAATACGATATATTTTTAATTTAATTATAGCTTCATTAAAATAAAAAAAAAATACCCGGCTATGATACGGAGAGTTCAGGTGTACTTGAGAAACGAAAGACAGTGTTGTGTTTCTCGGCAGAGTCGTCAGGGAACGACCGTTACGACAGAGACAACCTATCTATCGCTCGTGTCGCACTCGTTATAACCTAAAACAATAACACAACAATAACAAGACATTGTCTGACCGCATGTTCCAGCTATTTATGAATGAGATGCTCAGTCTATATTTTATTTTAAGTCTATGGTAGAGGTAGATACGTGAGATTATATGATTGAAGAGACGTGTTTTTTTAGAGTTACAGGACTGTAATATTGAAATATTCTTTTATTAGATCGCAAGCAGCTGAGAAAAAAGTCTATAAATGTACCATGTGTCACGCTCAAACGCGCAAAGAGTCACATCTTCGCCAGCACATGAAAATTCATTTGGCACCGGAAGACCGAGAGTTTTTTGTATGTACACACTGTGATAAGAAATATATGACAAAGAAAGCCTTAAAAAGTCACCTTGAGAATAATCATACTGATTCCAGGTAAATTTATTTTCTTGTAGCCTTCCTAGAGTTGTGAATTTGAGCTGTCAATTTTTTTCCGTCAATTGACCAAAATAATTTTTTCAGTACAAAGAAACAAATAAAAACAAATTAATATTTTATTTCACATAATTATTGAAATAATAAGAATGAAGTTTTATGTGACCTTGAACATGGTAGCACAGAATATCTAGCTACCCAACAGAAGCCTCGTTACATGTATAAAATTGTAGGTAGCAAAAGGAGACAGGCTTTAAAAGTCTGTCTCCAAATCAGATATTTTGATGTGGTAGTTTCGCTACTACATAATAGAGGGCAATAAATTTAAAAGAAAACAGTTTTCTACAAACAAAATTTAATAGAATTTTGTGCAGTGTTGCCATTGTGTCCAGTCCATAAAAGTCCAGCAATAGTGCGTCGGGCATCGGTAGCTCTATAATAAAAAAGTTAGGAATTTTGTTTAAGTGCAGATCTAAAGCATGTATTAGGATGTATTTCGGGAAAATATTTTAACCTCTACAGGGTGGCTCAAAAAAGTGTGAGTGGATAAGGATGATTTTTTTTAAATGGAACGCCCTGTATATTATTGCATTTTCGGCTTCCTTTTTTACCACTTTACACAATCCTAAGATATTATTAAATATGTTTTTGATTTGATGAAGTTTCAAAGATATTAATGAATATGTAAAAAGAAATGTTTTTTTCGCCTTTTTTTTCAAAAAATTATTGAAAATACAAAAAACGTCCTGAAATCAAAACTATTTTAGGTATTTACTGTAGTGGGTCTGTACTTACTTTTTTACCAATATCGTAATATTTAACCGTACAAGGTGTTCAAAATTGTATGCCAAACTTTTTAAAATAAAAAATAGTTTTTCTTCGTTTTTTTTTGGTAAATGGGACACCCTGTATATTATTTTCAACAGTAATTTTTTATCAAAGCCACCCGCTTAATGTGACACCGACTGTAATATTTAAATATTCTTTTATTAGATCGCAAGCAGCTAAGGAAATAGTCTTTAAATGTGCCATTTGTGACTTCCAAACGATACGCGAGCTAAATCTTCACAACCACAAGAAAATCCACTTGTCACGGGAAGAACGACAGCTGTTTCCTTGTACGCTTTGTGAGAAAAAATATTCAACAAAAGGCTACTTACAGTCCCACTTTATAAACAAGCATTCTGATTCCAGGTAAATTTATGTTGTATAATACATTGATCATACCGTGATGGCAGCTGTTACTTTTGGGTCGGTATTTAGATGTATGGAAGTAAATCGCATAGGAATCTTACAGGGTTGGCATGATATATATCAATGATATATATCGGATATATATCATTGATATATATCATGATATTTATACCTTGATATATATCATGATATTTATAAAAAAATAAAACTCAACTCTTTTCTTAAATTTCTACGTTAGAAAAGTCAACATGTTTACGGCCACAACGTATTTTTATTACTTGATATATCAATCGTGAATCGGCGTCAACGTGCCTCAGCTGACGATGATTTACCATTAATAAAATAAAAAATCGGTAAAAAAACTTTTAAGTTAAACGGTTTTATGTGCACTGAAAACTAGAAAATAATAATAACAATTAGGTATTTTGAACTTCTAGTTCAGAAATATTTTAGTACTAGGCAGAATAGCCTTTAGGCATATTAGACTAAAATAAAAACGTGGGGCCCCTCTGAAATCCTACCTATGGCAAAGCATATCTTTATACTTTGGTAGATCATGAGCTCGGCGTTCGCTGGTGAAGCCGCCACGGCTGGTTATTGAATGTCAAAATCTCCAGTTACGATTATAGTAAGTCGATGCAATCCACACTTAGTACAGAAGAAAGTATTACAGCAATAGCTAATGGGCCCCACGTTTTTATTTTGGTCTAATATGCCTAAAAGCTATTCTGCCTAGTACTAAAATATTTCTGAACTAGAAGTTCAAAATACCTAATTGTTATTATTATTTTCTAGTTTTCAGTGCACATAAGATAAAACAGTTTAACTTAAAAGTTTTTTTTATCGATTTTTTATTTTCTAGTTTTTAGTATTTAACGGAAATGCCTACCGAATATTCCTCATTCTATTTAATTCATTTAGTGCATATTATCACATGGTTTTTTACCTGATAATTTATTACAATCTAATTCCTCAATACATAGCCATTCCAGAGACTTGACTCGACTTAGAGCCACGTATGCTTGCCCTTCCTCAAACAATTTTGAGCCCAAATACACTACTGCATGGTCGACTGTGCTGCCCTGCATTTTATGGACGGTGGATACCCATGACAAAATTAAGGGTAACATCCTTCTTTCAGCCGTACCATAATTGAATTTTGCTGGAAACTGTATGGCTTTCGGGTGTATAACGTGTATGCCGTCTCTGCCAAAGTCAATCCAAACTGATGGTACATCTGTGTCGTACATTTCGGTTCGACGGAACTGAGGCCAAACAATTTCTGTAATGTGGCCTATAGCACCATTTACCAATCCGTCAATTTATCAAACGTCAATGTTGGACCGCAACATTACTTTTGCTCCTACAAATATTTCAAGTACTGATGGTAAGCCTCCAGTCTTATTTATATCTGTTGGTATTATATTTGCTAAATTTAAATTATCTGTATTTCGTGTGGCGTCAATTAGTTGGTCCTGGGCTTTAATGGTATAAATTCGAGATCCCTTATTCCGGAATAGATTTAAAACAGCAGTGTTGTGATTGTTTACTTGCTGATTAGTGGGGTATACCCTTAACGCTTTGTCTGTTGCAAACTCATCACTTGGGTTTTGAATAACTCTTTGCATCAAAATACTAAAATGGTTAGCGGTTAGCTCACCTATTCTCAAAGAATTTAATATTTCAATAAAAGTATGGTCCACTTCTGCAACTCCCAGTGGACGATATGCCAAGAACGTACAACTTTGACAAACATGTCAATGTAGTATTGAGCAATAAGAAGGATTGGAAGAGCGAAACGCTTGCCCAGCAGTTAAAAGACCATACCATAACTTGGTATACTGATGCTTCCAAAACCAATACGGGAACAGGGATCGGAGTGTTTGGGCCGAGAGCTAATTACTCCGAACCAATGGGCACTTACCCTAGTATCCTACAGGCAGAAATCTACGCTATCGAGAGATGCGTACAACTTATCTTAGATAGGAACTATCGGAAACAAGAAATAGCCATCTTATCTGATAGTCAAGCAGCGTTAAAGGCGATCAACTCAGTATCAATCGATTTGAAATTGGTCAAAGAATGCATAGAGAAGCTGAATAAATTAGGCAAAGAAAACAAAGTCCTCCTACACTGGGTGCCTGCTCACCAAGGGATAGAAGGCAATGAAAAAGCAAATAATCTAGCTAGGAAAGGAGCGAACACTCCACTAACTGGACCAGAACCGTTCTGCTTTCCAGTGGTAACCAACTCAAGGCGGAACTCAAGAATCTTGGAAGATTCCATCCGCAACCTGGAATGGAAATCTTGCAATGGTCGAAGACACTCGAAGAAGTTTCTGAGGGCTTATGATCAAGAAAAATCACAGATCTTTCTGAGTAAGAACAATCTTCGGATTGTCACGGGGTTTTTAACAGGACACTGTCTCCTCAATGGACACCTCAGTAGATTGAAACTAAGAAGAAACGGCGAATGCAGATTCTGTGGGAAAGATGGGGAAACACCAGTACACCTCATCACTGAGTGCGCCGAGACGACAACCATTCGTGCCATGAATTTTGGTACGACTGATATTGGAGATGGAGAACTACCCTCTATAAAACCGTCCCAGATACTGGCTTTTGTCAAAGCCCTGGGACTGTATGATGAGTTATGATTCAAGAAAGGGGGACACAATGGATCTGTAAGGTCGAAGTGATTAACCCCCCTCCCACTCATTCTAAATTCTAAAAAAATTCTAATGGTCCCCTTGCTGACGCATATTTTCCGTCAGCTCACAGAGCGTGAACAAACGCCATAGATGTGTGGCTGGTTGGAGATGATCGGGCTGTTTGAAAACAGGAGCTCCGGAGCGTTTGATTGGAGGCAGTTGTAACAGATCTCCAAAAAGTAAAACGTTTATGCCTCCAAAAAACTCGTCTTCATGATTTTTAAGTTGTCTTAATCGGGCGTCAATCATACACAGCATTTGATAAGATACCATTGAAATTTCGTCCATGTTGTTCCCACGAGTAATGGACATTTTAACGGTCGACCCCCCAGAGGTCCAGTAGAGGGGCAAAGCTATAATATACAACAAGAGGCGCCCAATCTTGAGGGGAAAACGCTTGCGACATTACATTTTTAGCCACCCTAATGCCATACAGTCCTCAGGACGTTTTAACCTATTCCCTTAACTTGGGTGGTAAAGCTACCGCTAACTACGTAGGTACATCTAATCACCTATTTTTTTTTTATCTGTCCTAACGTCACACAATCTTGGACACAACTGTTCTGGACACGACTACTCATGCCCTCACCTAATACGCCATTTTGTAACGACGTCCATCTTGTACTAGTGTAGCCCTTTCATTTGATACCCATATTGAGGGGGTTGTGGAAAAATATGAAATCCGCCATTTTGTATCGGCGGCCATCTTAGATTTACAATGTTATGGTGGGTTCATACAGCCAAATAAAATAAAATAAGAATAAAATAAAATAAGAAAGTTGGTTATATGGGATACCGTACATGCGTTCATACAGCCAAATAAAATAACAAATAAAATAAGAAGTCTTTATCTTTTAACTTCTTGTTTTATTTTATGTGTTATTTTATTTTAAACGGCTTTGCGGACGCTTAATTCTAACCTACAAATATTTTCAGTTTGGATTTAATTTATTTTATAATTTCACATAAGTAAAATATATAATATAGTAGGCAACGAACAAATAAATATACTATAAATAGTAAAATTACTATAAACAATCGTAAAAGTTAACTTTTATCCAGCCTCATCGTACTGCGCATGAGCAAATATAGATTTCTTATTTTATTTTATTTGACTGTATGAACGCACACAAATAAGAATTCCTTATTTCTTATTTTATTTTATTCTTATTTTATTTTATTTGGCTGTATGAACCCACCATTATTTATATTACTATATTGTATTGTCATCGGAACTAAAGGTGTGTACCAAATTTCAGATCAATCTGACAACAGGAAGGTACTTAAATTTCAATTTCTAATTTTGACCCAAATAAACAAACAAAAATAAATAAATACCGTACGGGTCGAGCTAAATAAAACCGTTTAATTAATAAATCAAATATAAATTTGTTTGTTGTTAGTTTTAGAATATCTGTTTATTTTTTTGAATTTCCGTTTATTTTTTAGAATTCCTGTTTATTTTTTAGAAGTTCTGTTTTTTTTTTAGAATTTCTGTATATTTTTCGCCGACCATACCAACAGGTATGGTAGGCTATTAAGATCGGAAAAAAAAGTTTTTTTAATTTCACTCAAAATGAGTTATTTGGGTCATAATTGACCTAAATACGAAATATTTTCATGGTGTCTGTCTGTCTGTCCGTCTGTAACACGATAACTGAAAAACCGCTAAACCGATTTTAACCAAATTTGGCACAAAAATACTGTGGCACCCGAGAATCTGGCTATTCGATTTTGGTGGGGGGTGGGGGGTTGGTAAGGTTAAGATTAGGAATAATATTTGCAACAAAATTTGTAATAACATAAAAATCAGTCAAAGTCGCAGTTCTTCAGATATTCCGTGTCTCCGTAGTCCGTTTTTGAGAAAATCCGTGTGGAGAACTCCAAACTCCCCCCATCGGACGCGACCCCAGGTGGCGGATAGGGGAAATAACCGCGGACCAAAATTGGAAAAATTCCTTTACTTTGAAACTAAAAGAACTGCCTACCAACTGTTTATTGACATATTTTAGTATGGGCGGTTATATGTGCCTCCCGGCGCCAATTTTTATATATATTTTTGTTTTAATTTTGTTCCTCTTATGTACAGGGTGGGACAAATTCGACGCTTTTAAAGGGAAACACACTTTTCTATAGGAGATAGACGAAAACTAATATCGGTGGCTGGAGCTCAATTTTCATCAAAAACATGATGGTGAAAACCGCACATCAATATCTGTTACCGTTTCGGAGTTACGGCAAAGAGTAGATAAGACAAGAGACGACAGTTCGCGCGGTACCTTTCATGTTTGAGTGGTGGGGAGAGTGACCTCGTCTCGCTTGTCCCTTTAAATTTTCGTAATTTTTTCGCGGGAAATTTAAAATAGACTATTATTAAAACTTGCCTGTATAGCTTATAAATAGTTACTGTATGGGTAAAGAAATAAATAGAAACGAAAAAAAAATGAGTTTTCTAAATATTATATAAAATACATTATAATTAGAAACATGTTTGTCGGGGAATAAAGATAATAAAAGTAATATTTTGTATATCGTTGGTAAACAAGATAAAGTGACCAAGTCGATTTGTAAAAAATGTTTTATTTACTTGTATTTTTTTTACATATGGACTTGAACAAGTGTAATATCACAATGTGGAGTTTATGTACAAAAAAATAGAGTTGCTCAATTTTTTTGTAAACATATATTACAAGCTTCTAACCATGTCTTTGATCTATGGATTACATTTAGTTTAATAACATAATTATATAGTATATTTCTATAAAAATACTTTTCAGGATCCTTTGGAAAAGAGTGAAATATTATGTTTGTCGAAAAATAAGACCTATTTTTGCAGTCTTTATAAGCACACACATTGCCACCATCTCGTCTTTTCCTGCTCTACTCGTGTCCTGTTCAGTATTCATATTTAACAATAATTACAAATTGGTACGCAACAAAAACGATACTAAAATTAAACCTTAAAAACTCTCAAAACGATAATATATCGAAAAACTCTTAAAACACACTTTAAAAAGGCAGAAATGCAAGAAAACAACTAATCAGATTTGTTTATGTTTAAGCCTGTTTAGCAAAGCTGATTAGCGTCCTAAAATCATAGGTTAGATTAAATAAAATACGCCGTTGTCAGATTTTGAGATTTTATCTGTTTATCTTTGAAATCGATCAACTTAGTCATTCTGTTTCTTTGATATTATCAGTACATTGCGAAAAAAGAACCTAAACCAACCTAAACTAAAAATTTACATATCCGTATTAACATACGTTACTTATATCCTTCTTATATTATTAATTTATTTTCAGAAAATCTTGTTTATTTTTCAAAGAAATATACTTGGCAACAGACAAAATGGGACTTGATGGGACCTTTAAATTTTAATATATCTGCGTCTCTCTCGCGAAATTCGACTTCTTTGTTCACTGTCGTCTCTTGTCTTATCTACTCTTTGGTTACGGCGTGTTTTTCAAAAATGTGCATTTTTAACAAATCGCTGTAACTTTTTTGCTATGGAAATTTTTTTATTTCTATGAAGACATTTTCAAAGCACCTTTTTACGTAGAATTTAACGGTTTAAGTATGTTTTTTTTTAAATTAATAATTTAAGAGTTATCAACAGAAAAATTGATTTTTTATTTGGGACACCCTATATATTTTTAATTAACTGAAGAAAATTTAAAATTACCTTTCCAAAAATATAGCACACTTGATATTTTGTTATACCTAATCCCCTTCGAAATACAGAATTTTTAAAAGCTCGTCACTTTTTACTACTGTTTGACCAGCGGATCTGAAGCTACGGAAGGAATGCGAGAAAAAAAATCGATATTGCCACGTTTATCTATAAAATTGCAAAATTGCCAGACATGAACTATAAATTTAATATATTTTTATTATATATAATGTGTTCAGCATATATTCTGACGTATATTACTAAGGAATTTTAATGTAGTTCATATTATTCGATATGTTTTATTTAATAACTTATTTCTTTCATTCTGTATAACCTGCTTATTATGAAAGTTGAAGATTTTTCAACGATATCATTGGCAAACCGGCATCGCCGCACATGGCCGCCTTTTCATCGAACATGATTGGCGAGAGTACGTCACAGGATTTGTTACCACGCGGTTGCAATGGCTTTTACGCCTTTCCTATTCGCTTGCTTTATCCCCAACTTCACGGTCTCTTCTGAAAAGAGTAGGAATATTGAATACTATTGAAATATCCAGTGGCGGTGTCATTCTCTTGATCATTATTACTTTATTTCATTATTTTATACCGGTTATCCTAAACTTTATTCCTATATTTTTCGTATATTTGATAGTTGTGTTTTATTGTTTTGTTATCTTGTTATAATGTTTTTCGTTCGTAGTTTTTAATTATTAATATCAAGTTTGATCGTATATTTGTATTTTAAAATGAATAAATTTGTTAAGGGTAAGACGCTACATAGTCAGACAAGAGAAATAATAGCTAATTTATATAGGTAAGTAGAATAATAATAATATAATTAGAATATTAAAATTAAATATTGGCTAAAATAAAAAGCACACATTTTACCTAAATATTTTAGCTAACTAAAATAAATATAAATAAACGTGGATGAAATCTCATTTGGTTTATTTCCTTGTGTTCATAATAGGGTTTGCGACGAAGAAGCTACAGAGAGTTCGCTTAAGTTGCCGCTTAAACGAAAACTTGAGCGGATATTTCTTTATACCGGAGTTAGCGTATCGGCTATAAAAAAAATTCACACAGAAGATAAAAAAAGGCTGGAAACTAACCCCGATAAAATGATATCCAGCCCTGGAAAGAAACGACCACGTGAGACTGCTGTTGAAACGCTCGACGACTTTTTCCAAGTGGTCAGGAATTTGATAAATAGATTTTATCTCGAATTCAAACTCGTCCCCACAATTAGAAAGCTTTTGCAAAAATTGCAGGAAGAATCGAATTTTCCTTTGGCAGGGAAACGCTAAGGGGGTTATTAAAATGAAATGAATTTTTTTGGCGTAAATGTCAAAATAACAGATAAATATTAATGGAGCGGCACATTAAATTGCAGAGAGAGATATAAATATATACGGGAAATTCGAAAATACAGCCAAGTATTATCTATTTGGATAAAACATATGGGTCGACAATGACCTAACCTTTAAAAAGTGCTGGCGGAGCTATACCATATCTGGTGTAATAGGCAATATTGGATCTACTGGTGAGTAAAATTATGTTTTGTTTGCGCTTCCAAAGTTAACTATTTTCAAGATTTTTTTTGCTGGAAATAGTTATATCTAAAATTTTGTATTATAGAAAAAAATATAGTTAGTACAGATATATAAATAAATATACCTTAAGATTCAGTCTTGATCATCTGCTGATGGCAGATATGGTTAGCGAAACGTGCGTCCAGTGTAAAAGTAAAAGTGTTTTGGTGTATTGTGCTGATTTAGTGTTTTATTTTGCTGTGTAACACCAAAGGTTCCAACCCCCAGCTGTAATTATTTTTTCTATTATATTAACAACACATAATAATAAAATTATTCAAAATATTTAAGGGAGCTTTAATAAAAGCTTTTAGTGTGTTTATCGGCTAACTCAACAGTAACAATTCAAACAGGATAAAGTTTTTTGAAAAAAAATTATTAATCAGAATTTCTATTTATGATACACATTATTTTCATAAAACACCGTACGCCCATGCCTATTTTATGAATGAAATTGTGCGTGTTTTGTTTACAACTGCGTTCCCCTACCGATACCCCGTAGCTACAGATCCGTTGGTCACACTATACGTGCCTTGCCTCCCGGCACCAATTTTTATATATATTTTTGTTTTAATTTTGTTCCTCTTATGTACTAAGCAACAATAATTAAGTTGAAATAAAAATATTTGATTGAGCTCTTGTTTTTACTTGATACTAAACGCAGTTTTACATAAAAAATAAATATCAAATCTTGATATATATATCGGATATATATCAGATATATATCGGATATATATCCGATATTTGATATTTATATAAATATCATGATATTTGCCAACCCTGCTAAGAATTAGAAAAAAAATCATCATTAATTAATTTTGAATTTTACTATAAAAATAAAATTGAAAAAACAGTTTTTTTTTGAAAATCTCGAAAACCGTTTCAGTTAAAGAGCTAAAAATTTATGTGAATTATTTTGATTCGACACCAAATCGACCCCCAAAGTGCCAGTCAAAAAGCCGCGGGGGCAGATTTCCTATATTAATCTGGCTATACCCTTTGACTTTGGAGTTAGTTTTTGTTCTAAAATATATTAAAAATAACATAATAAAATTTACGCTGTTGTCATCGGGTATTTGTTAAATTTGACATTTAAAAAATATATGGCTAAAAAAGTGGGTTTATAGGGGCGAATTTTGAAACACTTGATATGAAAAATAGTTTGTAGGGTTTCAAGTAATATTTAAATATTCTTTTATTAGACCGAAAGAAGCTGAGCAAATGGTCTTTAGATGTGCCATATGTGGCTTTCGAACGCTACGTAGTACAAGTCTTCGCAGTCACAAGAAAATTCACATGGCACCGGAAGAACGACAGTTGTTTGCATGTACGCACTGTGATAAGACATATAAATCAGGCCATTTCTTACGACGTCACTTTGAGGAGAATCATGTTGATGGCAGGTAAATTTATTTTCGTGTAATCTTTGACTAAAAAGAGTAAGGAAGGAGCGTATCAAAAATCTTAGATCCACGACGATGGGACTCAAATATGGCCGACTTAAATTCCGGTTTATCAGTGCCGTTCTAATTTTATTTAAAAAGTGTAAAACTATGATGTAGGGTAGACGTGGGGTAGACTCAATGTATTTTTTTTATTTTACGTTGTGAATAAATGTTGGTAGTTATTAAAATTGTTATAAAATATAAAATCCTAATAAAAATACGAGGCATGTTTTTTAAGTAAGTACCGTTTTGGAATTTAAAAAAAACGTGCAAAGATATCGCAATAATTTTATTTTTACATGAAAGCCTGTACCTTAATCTACTTTTCTACATAATTTCCGTGAATATTGAGGCACTTGTCATAACGTGGCACCAGTTTTCAATACCCTCCTCATAAAATTCTGCCGCCTGACTGGTTAACCACTGTATCACAACTGTTTTGCCTTCGTTATCGTCTTGAAGACGCTGACCGCCAGGTGTTTCTTCAAGTGCAGGAATAAATGGTAGTCACTGGGTGCCAGATCAGGCTGTATGGAGGATGATCAGAGTTTCCCATTTAAAAGATTTGATGAGATCTTTGGTCCGATTAGCCACATGTGGACGGGCATTATCATGCAGCAAAACAATACCCTTACTCAACTTGCCACGTCTTTTGTTTTGGATTGCACGGCGCAGATTGTTCAATGTCTCACAATAAGATGCTGCCTTGATTGTCTCATTACGAGGCAGAAACTCCACTAGCAATACTCCTTTTCTGTCCCAAAAAACTGCACATGATTCTCCGGGCAGAAATTGTTTGCTTAAACTTCACTGTTTTGGGTGATGATGAATGTCGCCATTCCATGGACTGTTGTTTCGATTCTGGTGTTTCGTAGGCCACCCATGTTTCGTCACCAGTAACAATTTTGTCTAAAAAATCTTCACCTTCATTGTGGTACTGCTCAAGGAAAGTCAATGCACTGCCTAAACGTTGGGTTTTGTGCAAATCCATCAACATTTTCGGAACCCAACGTGAACACAATTTCCGGTAATTCAAGTTCTCGGTCACAATGCGATACAAAACACTACGAGAACATTGAGGAAAGTAGTCGCACAATGATGAAATTGTAAAGCGTCTGTTTTCTTTCACCTCTTTGTCCACTTTCTGCACCGAATCTTCATTAACGACCGAAGGACGCCCACTCCGTTCTTCATCATGCACATTTGTGCGGCCATCTTTAAATGCTCTCACCCTTTTCCTTACCATTCCATCACTCATAATGGTTTGTCCGTAAACTTCACAGATCTCACGATGAATATCGATCGGTTTTACGCCTTTAGCACTAAGAAATCGTATGACAGCCCGTACTTCACAATCGGCGGGGCTCACGATTGTCGGAGGCATCTTAAACACTCAATAAACAACGTATACAATGAAGAATCAGACTGTACTGGCGTCTGTGCATAGACAAGAGATGTAGGTAACCAGCGCGCATGCGCGGAACGCCGACCGTAGCGCTGCGGCGGCGGAATCGCAAAACGGTACTTACTTAAAAAACATGTCTCGTAGTTAAGTTATAATAATTATTCATAACCATAAACATCCGATACGCTACTGAAGCAGGTAAGTCAAATTGTTTTGACATCTAATCTTTGACAAGTAGTAAATAAAAGCAAAAATGCATGAAAAAATATATAATTAGTTAATTTAAGTGAATTTCGTAAATGATCGGTTTACTACATGTATGTATATTATATAGTCACTTACTAGCGAAAAGTTGTTCCATTATTTCACTCGATTTTTGCTGAGATCTACCGCACGCTACACAACCAACTATTTTAGAGTCTTTTTTTTCGATAAATCGCGATAGTGTCACTGTTAATTTAAGTTCTGCCACAATTTCCATCTAGATTTACTACCTTTATACAACTATCAGTAGTAGAATAAATAATAAATAACATAAATTAAGCTCCGTAAAGACTGACAAATCCACAACATTTCAAATTAAATTCAAATGTGTCAAATGAATCGTCAAATAGAAATGTCAAGGATCCCCACCCTAAATCACTATGGAAACTGTCGCAAACATATCAAAGACTTCCATTTATCGTCCGCGCGCCAAATTTGAACATTAATTTTAAAAATTTAATTTGTAAAATGCTTATATTTGAACAATAAATCGAATGTTTACTGTCACAAAAATTAAATTGTATAAAAAATACATTTACCCACTCCCAACAAATATCAATATTCTTAGGAAATCTAACCAGAAAGTATGCATGTGGCTTAATATAAATAAAAGAACAACTGAATAATTTACTTGCCTATGAAAAGATAATTCGGGGACCTTTATATTAGAACTTTCACACACAACACTTTCGAGTCATTTTTACGAGTATTTAGAAAATCCAACGAAAAAAATTAGAAATACAATTGCACAAACTTCAAATTAATTTCTCACTGAACACACTTGCATTCTTGGCTATATAAAGCGGTCGATAAAAGAGTAATTAATACAATTTTTAAATTAAAAAACGCAAAAAACAAGCACAAAATATCCCCCTTTAGAACTTCGTCTGTCATGTTAAGAAATGAAAGTAAATAATAAAGCGCCTCTCGTGTTTTTAATATCTCAAAAAATTTCATTTTTTGAATGCCTGTAAAGTAATATATTATATTTTAAATTTACATTTTTTAGACTGTAACAATTATATCACACAAGGAATACAAGCTTATTACTAACAATTTTGTCAAATAAAGGATTACAAGCTTGTTTTCTAACATTTTAATTATAAAATTTCAGTATATGTAAATTTGTCGTAGGTATGAAAAAAGTAAAATATAAAATGTACAAACGCTTACTTACATTGCAATAAAACTTCCACTTTTAGTTCTGCAATCCAAACGCAATATTTCTATTTCACGAATAAAAATATCCGACAACACTAAAATCACTGAAACTTTTTGCACTTTTTGTTTTGGACCTGCATATCAACATTACGCTGTACTATTATGTTTTTGTTTTTGAAATAATATAAAATATCTAATTATAACTTGTAAATTTTAATATTTTAACATGATTTTAACTATTTCTGACAATAACTAACTTCATAGATAAACGAAACAAGTTTAGATTGGAAAGTGCCCATAAGGACAATGTAAACACTATTTGGCGCTATTCTAGCAACGGTCGCGACCATAACAAACTGAAAATTTCGGACGCGTCAACGCTGTACCGGAAATATCGGTAACATATTGTTTATTCAAATTTATTACCGCGCTTGTTTAACTGGCCTTAAATAAAAGAGTATGAAATACCTATGAAACATTGGAAACCGACGTTATGCCACGATCCACGATGGTTTTTGTAGTAGAGCAGTTCACAGCAAGCTTGTTTAATTAAAAGCGTTTATTAAAATTAAATAAATTTATTTCCATCGGTAAATAAACAATAATTTCTGGACATAACAAGATATAAAACATTACTTTAAATAAACGGAAACGTAAACACTTCCTCTTATTAAAATAACAAAAGATTAGATTTTGAAAGATTATTATGGTAAACGAAATAAAAGCATTATTCTTCAAAATACAAAAAAATTATTATGTTTGCCGTTGTATTAGCGACCGGAACAATAAGCGCCAGATTGCGTACAACGGTTTCGATATAAAACAAAAACATAAACCTAAAATTTTCACAAGGCTTTCCAAAAATATTAACATTGTTGCATTCTATCCATAAAATATAAAGCACTTATTCTAAATCAAAAAGATTAAAAACTTATAATTCTTATAATTTCTATTTTATTATACAAGGACCTTCGTTTTGTCTAGGTTAGCGATGTAATCACAATAATTATAATCACAGTAATTATTATGTTCTTCATAAATGTAAAATGTAAAGCATACAAAGTGTTCTTATTTTGTACGATAATAAAATAATAGTAATAAGCAAAAAGACTAAAATAGTATATTCAACAGTTCGTTCAGTTATGCTTCAATCTTTGGCGGTTTTCGTTTTATTTAGCAGGCAGGTTTGACGAGTGCGACTTTTCGCGATGATTTGAACTCAACTGGCCAACGCTATATAATAATTCGACTTCCTCAATCTTTGAAAAGTCTTGCTTTTTGTTGAGACCTGTCTATGGTCGCGAAAAACAAATTAAATTAGATGAAATCATTTCTGATCGTGTTAATATAAAACGCAGCGTCTTTAATCACGGAATTATATCGCCAAATATTGTTTAACTGCTCAGCATTTATTATTTATTTTTTCAGTACCATTTTATAAATCTATAACAGTGTGTTGCATATGTTTAACTTTATTTTTATGGTACGCATGTCGGAAACCACCTATGAAACAATTAAACCGACGTTATGCTTAATTATCCACGATGGTTTTTGCAGTTCACAGTTCACACATCTTGAGGAAAAACTATTTTTAATGAACCGTCATTTCAATGCCACTTTTTCACCATTATTATTTATGGAGTAAATAAAACTTTTTAAATCAAAGATAGCAATTTTACTTTGAAACTGGACATATAAACACTTTTCGAATTTTAAATAATGAGAGCGGTAATATATTTTAAATTAGATTATTATGCAACTTTATACTAAGAAATCATTTATACATTCACAAAATGTAAATTATTTCTGTTTTGTATAGTTTTCTTAGCAATGAATATTGAATTAAAATTGCGTATAACGGTCGCGACCCAAAATAATTTCGCGACCTAAATGATTACGGGCTCGCAATTTAAACTTGCCATTTATCCATGACCGGTGGCGCTTTCTAGTAAATGTAGGCAACTTATAATACATTTCTATTTTATTATACAAAGGGCGCTCTGGTAGTCGGAGGAAGAAGCGTCGTTGGAAGAGAGGGGTGCGGGGAAGGGGGTTGTTTTAGTAAATTTAAAATAAATTTAGACATACATAAGAAATTTCAAAGTAGTTATTTTATTTTACAAAGAAATAAGTTGGTACAACTGGAACGCATAGCAGATATATTTAAAAATTTGATTGACAAGATGACAAGTGATTACTTCAAAATATATTAAAAACTGTATAAAACTGATTAAATGCATATTGAGTTATTTTATTTAATAAAACGGTATGTTAAAACATATATTAAACAAGAACAAGACATAGTATATACCAAAAATTAAAAAGAGTTATAATTTAATCTTTCAAGCTTTTCAGCAAATAGCAGGCAGTTTACATAATTTTATCCTATCAATATAACTTAAACACAAATATAATTTTGGTGTAATATTCCACAGTTTAAATAAAACAAGATATAAATAAAAAAACAAATTAAATTAGATGTAATAACCCATATGCTGATCAATATAAAATACGCGTCCTTTAATTCCCTTACATGCACCGTAAAAATTAAATATTGCTCAGCAAGTAGCATTTATTAGCAGTACTAATTTAAAAAATCTATAACTGTAAGTAGATATGTTTAATTTACTTACCATTGTATCCTTCGGAAACCAGGTTGTACAACAATTAAACTCCATGATAAAAAATGAAAATTAAAGAGTCTATACAAATACAAACTTTATCGATGGCAACTTCATTGGTGTATAAGACTTCTCTGCCCAGAGTCAAGTGAGTATTAAATCCACCAAACTGTGCCTCTTGGGTCTACAGTTAATTTTAAAAAAACATTTTCCTAAACTTGACTGCAAAAGCACAAAACTCTGAAGGAATTTAATACGCACAATAATTCGACAAATCAAACGGTCTTGTCACAACAAAAGCGTCCACGAAATCAGTTAAAATCAAATTTTATTATTGTGGATCCCATTGACATTTGAATTGTTAATAAAGACAGTTTTGTTGGATTTGCCACTGCATCTTGGAGGAAAAATAATTGAAAATTCCAAATTTCCACTTACATTTCAATGCGAAAATTCCTCTATGATAACCTTTTGTTATCAAGATGACATTTTAGAAGGTTAACTGACACAGTATGCCATAATATTTGAATTTTAAATATCGATGTAATATAATTTAAATTAATATAATGCAACTTTATACTAAGAAATCATTTATACATTCACAAAAATGTAAAAAAGTCTAATAATAAAACATTTGAAAACAATGAATATTGAATTAAAATTAAAAACAGTTAAGCGCGACCCCTTGTGTAAAAATATTTTTTCCCTGGATTTGTTCAGTAAGATTCCGAAATCGATGTGATCTGCGTACTTCAAACACTCCCCACCAACCTAACCTAAATGCAATGCATTAATACCCCCAAATAACTCAGGGCTAACCAATGCATTAACACCTCCAAATAACCCAGACTAACCAATGTACAAGCGTCCAAATAATGGGAGAATATCTAACTTTGGATTATGACATATGATTATGACAATATGATGACAATGAAAAGTTGGTTTCCATAACAATGTATAATTTCGTCCCATTGCTGCCAAAAGTCACTATAGTCTGTCCAACGAGAAGATCCTTGACAGTGATAGATGTGTCTGTCATTTTAATTTCAAAGTAGTTATTTTATTTTACAAACCTATAGTTGGTACACCTGGAACGCAGGCTAATATATTTAAAATAACACCTCCAAGATAACAAGTGATTACTTCAAAATATTGTGAAAAAAACTGTATAAAACTGAAAAAATGTAATTGAGTTATTTTATTTAAATAAACGGGCTGTGTTAATGCATAACAAACAACACTACATACCAAAAAAATAAAAAAAAAGAACTATTAAATTATACTTTCGTAGAACCTTATGAAACTACCGCAAATGATTATATTTATCAATTGCTTTTATGTACAAATACAAATTTGTAATATTCCACAGGAATAAATAAAACAACATAGGTAAATAAAACAAACTATTTTATTAATAATAACACCTACCTTTATACACAACAACTTTAATTCACTTAGAAAATCATATTATCTTAATTTTTTGAACCGTCACAGTTGACATTATTTTTCTGCAGGCCTATAGATGACATACCGATGATCGATTGATGTCGATATCGAACAGTCATAAAGTTTTTAGTATGTGTTTTAGTTGTGATCCTTATATTTTATTAATTTTTATGCTTACGAAAGAAGATTATACAAACTTTACGATTTTTGTGCTTAATTGGTGTAGAAGACTTTCACGTCTATATAAGGTAATAAAGTATTAATATGTGATAAACTTTTTGCTCTGGGTCTACAGTTAATTTTAACTCGATTTTTCCTCCCGTTGACTGTACCTAAAATACGTTTTTTGCCGCTTTTTAAAGATAAAACACATTCATCCAACAATTTTTATGCTTAAAAATATTCAGTTTAAGATAATCTTGCAAAAAAATCCCAAAAAAGTGTTAAATGCGTGGGGACCTATTGTTCACCAGAGCCTGCATCATCTTAAAAAAACGCAGGGTATTTAACAAAAGTTGACACAAAATTATAACCTATAATTTGGCAAGACTTTGACAAGCGTCAAAAATGACAAAAATCTAAAGGCGAGTTCATACGCATCGGCGTTCGTTTGTCGTTCATCGTTCCGTCAAACCAATAAAATTGAATTACGATCTGTCATTTTTTAAATAAACCAATAAAACTGGTTAAAAACAACAAGACACGACGTATGACGGATTTATATTTAAACCCATCCATAGATAACTTAAAAATTATTAGAAACTTTTTTTAGTAAAATGAATAGATTGGTATGGGACGTCATCTGTTTTTCTTCTGCCATCGTCTGTCGAAATCTTACCTGAGAAAAAAAACAGAGTATAACTTACTTTTTATTACTTCCGAGAAAAACGCGTGTAAAGATAAATTGCATTCCATAAAGATGTTATAGTTAGTAACTATTCGGTATTAAAATACAACATAAATAGCCAAAAATCGTTAATGGCTTTTTCAATCGATTCTCCGCTTCAAAATATAGTTAGCGATCGAATTTTCAGGTTATACGGAAAAATGTTAGTTAGTGACTTTTGGCAGCAATAGGACGATTTGAACTTTCTAAACCGTATAAAATTGTTCTTATTTCGGAAATACGTGCAACTTTTAATGCGCATGGGCGCAAAGTAAGGCCCTCGAGAAAGACAAACCTAATGAACGTTTGATAAGTGCAATAAAGAAGGTTTGATAATGGCATGTCGTGATGTTGGAGACGTATTTTTTAATGCTAAACTTATGGCGTTGATTTATCCACATGATCTAGGAATTATACTCCTTCAATCTTTTTCTTCAAAGGGGTAAATTATTATCAACATATGGACGATTCAGTTCTAAATTTTTGAACAAAAACATTTTGTTAATGATAATAAGTATAATAGGGTAACGTACGCGCGATATTATATGTATTTAAATATTCTTTTATTTTATTAATATTTAAATATTCTTTTATTAGATCGCAAGTAGTTGAGAAAAAAGTCTATAAATGTGCCATATGTTTCTTTGAAACGCTACATAAGGCAAGTCTTCGCGACCACAAGAACACCCATTTGGCACCGGAAGAGCGACAGTTGTTTGCATGTGCACACTGTGATAAGAAATATACATCAAAACAAAACTTACGTCATCACATTGAGGAGAATCATATTCATTCCAGGTAAATGTATTTGCGTGTAGCCTTCCTCACATCTACATATATAAAATGCTAATGTTTATCTGTGTCATATCTGAAGTAACGACTTGCTTTAGAAAGATAGCTACAGTCTCTCAAACGACAAGATCCTCGACAGTGATAGAGGTGTCTGTCATTTTAATTTCAAAGTAGTTTATTTTATTTTACAGATAAATAAGTTGGTACAACTGTAACGCATAGCAGGAAATTAATATACTGATAAGAGATTACTTCAAAATATTGTGAAAAAAAACTGTAACAATAAAATGTAATCGAGTTATTTTCTTTAAAAAAATGGTATGTGTTAATACAAAACAAATAAGAATAAAACACCACATACCAAAAAAATATAAAAAAGAACTATTTCTTACTTTCAATCTTCAAGAAACTTCCCGCGTTTATTATTATATTAAATACAAATTTGTAATATTCCACAGGAATAAATAAAACAACATAAATAAAACAAACTATTTTATTAATAATAACACTTACCAAATTTTACACCTTAGGGCTGAAACACACTGACGACCAGGTCGCACCGGCCAGGCCGCACCTACCTCTAAAACCATTAAATCAAATGAAACAGCGCACACTAACGTCCTGGCTAGTAGTGGGAACTATCGAATGAATACTATCGAAACATTCGATAGTTGCAATTCATTGGAATAATTCGATAGCTATAGTGATCGTAATTTCTAAACCATCTCTATCACCTACTTACAATGCGAGTCAACTATATTTATCTTTTTCTTAGTGGTTAAGCTACCACTACCATTTTAGAATTGTTTTCCGCAATTACAAGACAAATATTTAAAAATAATTTTAGGTCCAAGGCTGCGCGGAAAAATATCCATAAATGTTCCACTTGTGGCTACCAAACACCCTATTCAACACACTTGCAACGACACCAGAAAATTCACTTGGCCCCAGATGAACGACAGTTGTTCGCTTGTGCACACTGTGATAAGAAATATACGGAAAAACAAAGATTAAAAGTCCACTTTGACGTTGATCATATGGGTTCCAGGTAAATTTATTATTGTTACCCCCGGTATTTTCAGATATATTTTATTTGATGGATTGCAGAAAAAACGTGTATCTTCGCCTATAGATAGCAATATCGATTAGTTCTAAGCCTTTTATAAAAAGACTTAAATCTTTTTCAATTTCGGAATAAACATTTAAATCACAAATCAGTTTCAAAAAGACTTAAATTTTAAGTCTTATGTCAGCTTTCTAAAAATGACTTAAAATCAAATGACTTTAAGTCATTAAAATGATTTAAATCAAAAAAAGATTTAATGTTTTCTGTGAGCTTGCGGCTCTGCCGTATGGTTAAATTAATATCAATGTATGGATGATTCAGTTCTAAATTTTTTAACAAAAACATTTTGTTAATGATAATAATTATATAGTCTATAAAATGAATAACTTTGAATTTTGACCGTTATTTTTTACCAATATGGCAAATATAAAATCCCTCTGTCAAAAAAGTTACTGATATTCTTTAAATTGAGTACCTGAACGAATCAGATAGGTAACTCTTTTTACTTTCGTGAAATAGAAAAGGAAAATAATAAAACAAGTACAGTTCTTCCTCTTCTTGCAAAAATCAACCCGAAATGTCATAATTGCCAAAAGTAAAATGTCATCAGCGTTTGACATTTCTAAATATCAAACCAATGCCGTCTCTAATAGAACAGCCACGGAGCGAGATTTATGACGTCACGCTAATTAGATACTAAGGATTAATAAATATGTTGTAAAATACATGGAAAACATAATTATTCCTCGTATTTTTGGTTTGTATTTTAAAAATGATATAGTTTACATGAAATATATATAATATACAGTTAATAAATACAATATATATACCTCTTTATAGTAATAAATACTTTGGCAAATAAATTATAAACCATACAAATGCAGCAAATGTTTTACAATATACAAATAATGAATAGGTACGTAAGATAATGGGTAAAATGTAAAATATATTTTAAATTTTGGTGTTTGAAAATCGATCTAATTTAACAAAAAACATTCAATATCTACTAATAGTGATGTATTATTATTTGCATTCACAAAATTTATATGTATATTTTGCAAGTATCAATGTTCGAAAAATTATATTTGCAAATAATACAATATCATAGAAAAAAGGCGTCAGCGATGGCTATAAAATAAAGATCGCTGTCATTTTATATGTAAAATTATTCTAAAATTTTTGATTTTCTTGGGATTTAGGTTAGGATGGAGTACGATTTCAGCCATAGTCAATGTAGATAGTTAGTGTTAAGAATAATAATTTTAAAAAATAAACAAAATATTAAAAATAAACAAAAACAATAAATAATAATGAATTAATATTATTAAAAAAGTTATTAACTGTATATTATGTATATTTCATGTAAACTATATCAGTTTTAAAATACGAGGAAATTTTTTCCATGTATTCTACAACATATTTATTAATCTGTAGTATTTAACTAGCGTGACGTCATAAATCTCACTCCGGGGCTGTTCTATTAGAGACGGCATTGCGTCAGCATGGCCGCAAGTTGCTAACCTAATAAAATTAACACTACAAAAGCGCGCGGGAACTGTCAAATTCAAAGTTATTCGTTTCACAGACTATAGTAAGAAAACATTTGTTGAAAACTATTCGAATAAAAATTATCGAATAGACGCGTCATCTGCCTTGAAATATTGTATTCTAGTAATTCGGCAGCAAAAACCATTCATTTATAAAATTCATTTATTTATGAAATTCATTTATTCGTCAGGATCGATTATAATAAAATATTAACTGGATTTTAGTTGTCGCCCGGCGACGTAGCTTTCTTTCCGACAAACCCGACAGCGGTCGGTGGCAATGCTATGAAAGAAGGCGGCATCTTTGATTTTTTGCGGAGTAGATAAAAATAAGGACACATTATTTTTTTTATTGAGGTGCTAATATTTACACAAAAACTACATTATGAAAGGCGCTGTTGCCATATGTTGGTATGGCTTTATTTAGTTAGGTATAGTATGTCTATATATTTTGCATTTTTTTATTAATATTCTGTTGTTACACTGCAATAATACTTGTTATTTTGGATGTAGGAAAATTATTTTTAACGCTTTTAAGCAAAGACTGGTTTAATAAATAATAATAACAGTAATAATTTGTTATACCTATTAACGACAAAATTTAAAATCATTTAATATGAACATTTTTTTAAGTAGTGGCAAAATATAAACAACAAATTTGATGTCAAAATTATTTATATTAGATCCTATTTAAAAATAATATAGTCTCTCAATTTTTTGTGGCAACGTTGGTTTATTAAATAATAATAATTACAGAACTAATTTGTTATATTAACAACAAATTTTAAAATCATGAAATATAAACATTTATTAATTTTCTAAGCGTGCAGTGTAATGCAAGGAAAATATAAATAAAAATTAGAAATCAAAATTATTTATATTCGGTACTTTATATTACTATTTAATAATAATAATATTTACTTTTACTGGTATTTACTTACTAAAAAATAAATGAAATATTTCTTCGCAAAAAACTACATGTAAGAGAATTAGCATAAACAAAATACAAACATCGTTAACTTTTTTTTAAATTGGCACGTGTAAAACTTTTAATTTAATTTTCTCACCCCATAGTCTGAGTTCGATAACCATTTACTTAACCACATTAATTAATATAATTATTAAGTTCAACTAATTCATATTATTAAAACATCTAAAATACAAATATGTATTTTTAAAATTAATTGTAAGTTCATCTCATCTCTCTTAAAAATTGCTACTTCTCAAAATTTCCCATTAAAAAATAGACCATATACCATATAAAATTAAATAATTGAAAGATCGGGCTACGGAAAATCACACAAACTTTCGGAAAAATTTTGACCACCTGCACACGCACACAATCGTCAATTAAAAAAACTACTATTTTAGTATTTTAAATATTTTAATAAACGCAAAAATAGCACAGTATTTATAAGGCGAAGTTATAAAAATTTGGAAGAACTAATAATGCACTGACGCATACAAAAATCAAACGAATACTAAATTTCATTTATCAAAAGCATTCGATAGTCGTGGCTCAACGATAACCATTCAGTGGCACGGCGAGGTTGTCACGTATGCTCTAGTATACAAATGAATGAATGATTTTATTCGAATAAAACCATTCGATAGTTGAAATCATTCATTCAGTAACCATTCGATAGTCTAATTCATTCGATAGTTCCCATCGCTAGTCCTGGCCGTCCGTTGCTCGTTGCGACCAGAAGACTGCACGGAAATATTATTATTTTCTGCCGCTTGTTGCCGGTTTTCTTCCAAATTAATAATTTTCCAGATGAAATCCCTCAAATTCAACGCACAATATTTTATTTTCTATAAGATATAGTGTTTTAGTGTAGTTTTTGCACACGTGCTAGAGAGTATGCTAGAGAGTATATTATTGCATTTTTGGCTTCTTTTTTGATCACTTTACATAATCCTAAGATATTATTAAATATGTTTTGATAGTTTCCAAGATATTAATGGATAAGTAAAAAATATTTTTTTCCAGCCTTTTTTCAAAAAATTATTAAAAATACGAAAAATGCCCTGAAATCAAAACTGTATTAGGTATTTACTGTAGTGGGTTTGTACATACTTTGCTACAAATGTCGTTATCTTTAACTATATAGGGTGTTCAAAATTGTATGCCAAACTTTTTAAAATATGAAATAGTTTTTCTTCGTTTTTTTTAATGGAACGCCCTGTATATTATTTTTTATTAGAGGGAGAATTAAAAAAAAACACTTTTTGTATTTAAAGTAGCGATGGGAACTATCGAATGAATTAGACTATCGAATGGTTAATGAATGAATGATTTCAACTATCGAATGGTTTTATTCGAATAAAATCATTCATTCATTTGTATACTAAAGCATATGTGACAACCTCGCCGTGCGACTAAATGGTTATCGTTGAGCCACGACTATCGAATGGTTTTGATAAACGAAATTTAGTATTCGTTTGATTTTTGTATGCGTCAGTGCATTATTAGTTCTTCCAAATTCTTATAACTTCGCCGTATAAATACTGTGCTATTTTTGCGTTTATTAAAATAGTTAAAATACTAAAATAGTAGTTATTTTTTAATTTTATTTATTGACGATTGAGTGCATGTGCAGGTGGTCAAAATTTTTCCAAAAATTTGTGTGATTTTTCGTAGTCCGATCTTTCAATTATTTAATTTTATATGGTCTATTTTTTAATGGGAAATTTTGAGAAGTAGCATTTTTTAAGAGGGATGAGATGAACTTATAATTAATTTTAAAAATACATATTTGTATTTTAGATGTTTTAATAATATGAATTAGTTGAACTTAATAATCATATTTAAGTAATGTGGTTAAGTAAATGGGGTTATCGAACTCAAACTATGGGGTGAGAAAATTAAATTGAAAGTTTTATACGTGCCAATTTAAAAAAAGTTAACGATGTTTGTATTTTGTTTATGCTAATTCTCTTACATGTAGTTTTTTGCGAAGAAATATTTCATTTATTTTTAAAGTAAATGCCAGTAAAAGTAAATATAATTTTAAATAGTAATATAAAGCACCTAATATAAATAATTTTGATTTCTAATTTTATTTATATTTTCCTTCCATTACACTGCATGCTTAGAAAATTAATAAATGTTTATATTTCATGATTTTAAAATTTGTTGTTAATATAACAAATTAGTTCTGTAATTATTATTATTTAATAAACCAACGTTGCCACACATAAAAAAAATTTTAGAGACTATATTATTTTTAAATAGGATCTAATATAAATAATTTTGACATCTAATTTCTTGTTTATATTTTGCTACTACTTAAAAAAATGTTTATATTAAATGATTTTAAATTTTGTTGTTAATTAGTATAACAAATTATTACTGTTATTATTATTTATTAAACCAGTCTTTGCTTAAAAACATTAAAAATCATTCTCCTACATCCAAAATAACAAGTATTATTGCAGTGTAACAACAGAATATTAATAAAAAAATGCAGAATATATAGACATACTATCCCTAACTAACTCAATAAAAAAAATAATATCCCTCATACTCAATAAAAAAAATAATGTGCCCTTATCTATATATGACTCCGCAAAAAATCAAACATGCCGGCTTCTTTCATAGCAATGCCACCGACCGCTGTCGGGTTTCTCGGAAAGAAACCTACGTCGCCGGGCGACAACTAAAATTCAGTTAATATTTTATTATAATCGATCCTGACGAATAAATGAATTTCATAAATGAATGAATTTTATAAATGAATGGTTTTTGCTGCCGAATTACTAGAATACAATATTTCAAGGCAGATGACGGACCTATTCGATAATTTTTATTCGAATAGTTTTCAACGAATGTTTTCTTATTAACTATCGAATTATTCGAATGAATTGCAACTATCGAATGTTTCGATAGTATTCATTCGATAGTTCCCACTACTAATTTAAAGTATCCGAATTTTAACGGTTTTTCGGATATTCGTGGTATCATACATAACAGTAATTTTTTTATCAAAGCCACCCAGTGATTTTTTTCTGGCATTTTACCGTTGAAAAAGCCATATGTAGTAAAATCGCGAATATTTGCGAATAAGTTTTTGTTCTAAAATGGTGCGTCTCAAAAGTGGCTCACAACTATAACTTTTATATTTTTTCTTTCCTCTTTTTTTTATATTATAGGGGTGAGCCACTTTTGAGACGCACCCGATAGATTAAAAATGACCTAATAAAATTTGCGCTGTTGTTATCGGGTATTTGTTAAATTTGACATTTAAAAAATATATGGCTAAAACCTGGGTTTATTGTCGAATTTTGAAACACCTTAAGGTGCGTATTCATTATCCGCACGAACGAACGAACGAATGTTCGTTAGTGGTATGGACGGGGACCGCACGATAGAACCGCACGAGAAGACCGCAAGCATTTCTTCATTCGCGCGCCAGTTCAAATCGTCAAGATATTGTTATAAACCTGTTTTTTTTTTGTTTATATACCGTCATTGAATTATCGCTAAGCAAGTTACTATGGAGCAGTGCATAAGGAGTCGGGCTAGGGAAGCGAGAGACCGGAGTTCGAATCTCGGCCGGAACATCACTTTTATTTTTTTTAAATATTGTTGTATTCTATAGTTTATTTTTGTAGTATAAGAAAAGAACTATTTATTCTGTTATTTTTAATCTCCGTTATTAATATAAATTGATTGTTAGTACAATACCTCATTTAATATAAAATAATATTCTACTTTTTGAAATGTATCGGGCCCTAATTGTACCTAAAAGTAATATATTTTTAGTGATATACCATATTGTAAACTATTTAATATTTTAGTCACTTAAAAAGTTAATTTGCATTGAATAATTGCCTACCATTAAAGGAAATTTGAGCTATATAATCCTTGATGGGCATATTCTGGGTATGCAAATACTTCCTTTAAATTTTGGGTGTCGTTCAACCGATTTATTCTCAAAACCAGAAACTTCTACATATAAAAAGAAGCACAAGTCACTAATTATAATAAACTTCACCCTTGGTATTACTTCCACTAATTATAATAAACTTCACCCTTAGAATTACTTCTATCACAATTACAATACGTTCATCTGCATTGGCATTTTCTACTTCTCGATGGGAAACAATAAACTTCCCAACATTTTTTAAATGATGTAACAATTCCTCTTGTGGTTACTTTTCCATAGATATCCTCAACTCTGTCCTCATGTGAATTCAGAGGCAATGAAAATGAAAATTATTTACCATGAACATCACAAACTAAAAACCTAATAAACAATTTTATACCGAATATAGAAATAAATTTAGTATTCTTACGTATCGTCCAAATCCGTGTTAATAGATAATTATTATTTTTAAATATATTTTTAGAACTGCTGGTTTTAGTAATTATTAAATTAAACGAACTAAAAAGTCTTAAAAATAAACAATTCTTAACCATAACCCCAAAAAATGCAGATCTCCTGTCAACTTTCTTTATTTTTTTTTACTCATTATTTTCCTAGTGACGTCACAGGTGGTATGCGCGAACTGAACGAAATTGGAGCCGCTATCGATCATACCTTGTATTCTTTGTACCATGACGTCTAAACGCCTTTGATGTACCGACTCGAAGCGGATGGTCGAGCGCACGAACGAACGAACGGCCGCATGCGTTCGGTCCCCGTCTAAATATACCGCACTTTCATTCGTTCGTTCGTTCGTTCGTTCGGATAATGAATACGCACCTTTATATGAAAAATATTTTGTACGATTACAAGACTGTAATATTTAATTATTCTGTTATTAGATCGGAAGAAGCTGAGGAAAAAGTCTTTCATTGTACCACATGTGGCTTTCAAACGCAATATAAATCAAATTTTCTCAGTCACAAGAAAATTCATTTGCCACTGAAAGACCGACAGTTGTTTGCATGTACACACTGTAATAAGAGATATACAACAAAACGAGGCTTACAACGTCACCTTGAGGATAATCACACACATATTGATTCCAGGTAAATTTATTTTGTGTAACGGATCATATACCGTGTCACAGATAAAGTCTGAATGCTTTATTCATTTTCTTTACTCATTTTACATATACAGGGTGTCCGAGGCTGAACGTGCGTTAGAAGTTTCTGGAGAACCACAATATCTAGATCGGAGATTTTTTGCACATCATTGTTTTACAACGCGATTTATTGATTAAAAATATTTTCAATAGATCATGACAGGCAAGACGCATTTGTTGTAAACGTCTCTTTTTAGGTTATTTGGGATTTTGCTTTTGAATATAAAGTTAAGTTTACTAAAAGCTGCCCATCCGAGTTTGATCCTTCTAGAAATTTCGGTTGTTTGATTTTCCTTGCCGAGTTTTATGGCATGAGCTAGATATATATACTCTTTAACGTTCTCAATCCTTTGTCCATTAACAATAACTTGCTCTTCATTTTCATATAGGGTTTTAGTTTTAGACAAATCCATTTTTAAACCTACTTGCGCAGATGTGTGGTGAAGTTGTTCGAGCATTGTTTGAAGTTCTTCCAATGATGAGGCCAGGACAACGACATCATCAGCGAAGCGCAAGTGGTTAAACATCCCACCATCTACCCTAATACCCTTCTTGTCCCAGTTCAGCTTCTTAAATACGTCCTCCAGGGCCAGTGTAAAAAGTTTGGGGGAAACAGTATCTCCCTGTCGGACTCCTCTTTCCATTTTAATTTTATTTGTGACATTTATGTCATCCAGTTTGATAGTCATTGTACTGCCTGCTTAAGAGTTTAAAAATTGTATTTCTAAAAATATATCTCGTATTTTCGCTCTTTAGTGAAATTTACTAGTTGATATTATTAATATTGTACCGATATATGATCAAAAAAAAAAACAGAGCAAAGTTGTTATAAAAATATGTTGCCGAAGTTTCCGGAATACAGTTTGGACCACCCTGTATATTAAATAGAATTCCATGACTAAGTGAGAAAAGGGGCGTCCACTTGAGGTGATCTTACTCAGTTTTAAATATGAAGAGAATGCCAAGGCCATAGACAAACTAACAAAAGCAAGACTTTTCAAAGGATTGAGGAAGTCGAATTATTGTTTTTGCGCTGGCCAGTTGAGTCAGAAATCATCGCGCAGTCGCACTCGTCAAACCTAACCTAAATAAAACGAAAAACGTTTTTGCCTTGAACCATCCTTGAACGAACTGTTGAATTTCTGATTTTGCGTTTTGTTTGGTTATTACTATTATTTTATTAGCGTACAAAACGAAAACAAATAATTTAATACATTTTGCATTTATGAAGAACATAATAATTACTGTGATTATACATATTATTGTGATTACATCGCTAACGTAGACAAAACGAAGGTCCTACAAATTGACTGTAAGTTATAAGAATCTTTATCTTTTTAATCTTTTTATGATTTGAATTTTCGTGCTTTATATTTTATAATAGACTCGAAATGTTAATATTTTTGCAAATTCTTGTGAAAATGTGAAGTTTATGTTTTTGTTTTATATTTGAAAACGTTGTATATTTTTAAGGTGTTTCTTGTTGTTCCTATTATTAATATTATAATATTCATAATTATTTTTTTGTACCTTTTGAAGAATAATGCTTTTATTTCGTTTACCATAACTCTAAAGAGGAATACGTTTTCGTTTATTTAACTTTTGTTTTTATATCTGTTATGTCCAGAAATTATTGTTTATTTTACCGATGGAAATAAATTTATTTGATTTTAATAAACGCTTTTTAATTAAACATCCTTGTCTAAAAGGCTCTACTACAAAATACACAATCCATAAGTAAACCGTCCTCGTCTAAAAGGCCAGTTGACGCAAGCGCGGTAATAAACTCTTGTCAAACTTGTTACCGTTTTGCAGTACAGCGTTGACGCGTCTTGCTTTTGTTAGTTTGTCTATGGCCAAGGCCTTCAGGCTTATTTTTCTAATACCCTAAATTTAAGGTCACTGTTTTAAAACTTCAAACTATTCAAAATAATGGCACTTATCAAAAAAACTTACTGAAATATTGCTATTGGAACAAAAATGTCCAGGCACAGATTTTGTCATTTTAATTGTTTATTGTTTCCAGAAATGCCGATTGTACATCTTCAACTGATGAAGTGATATTAGATGCTTTAAAAATTGAAATTGATGATATCGCTTTGCCTTTGGATGACTCTAAGTATGGTTTATAAGTTTTTTTTACTAATATAGTGATAATAATGTAACTCATTAATTCCAGAAATTCTGAATGTTTAGCTGTGACTAATGACATAAAATCGGAAGATTTTATAAAAACAGAACCTGAAGATGTCGCTCCGATTATGAAGACAGACGTGCACGATGACTTTAAGTATGTTTTTTAAATGTATTTTTATTAATGGATACAATATTGTGTTTTAAATATTTTCTTATTGTTTCCAGAAGTAGCGAAAATGAATCTGCCACTCGAAATGTGAAGCTAGAAGATTTTATAAAAATGGAACCCGACGATGACGTCTGACGTTTGTGGATAAAGATACGCATTTTTAGATGAAGAAAATATTCGTAACACTAAAAATTTTGAAAAGTTTAACTTTTTGTTTTTTTTGAAACTAACCTAACCTTTGCGTTTTTAAGCTGTATAAATACAGGGTTGTTCACCACATACGACACGGAGTATTGTAGCTAAACGATTAGATTTTTACAAATTGTAAGTTTTGGGTTCGTTGAAGGACTATTAGAGCTACAACTATTTTTACAAGATATACAGTGTCCCAAATAAGTAAAAATATTAGATATTTTTGATGTGCTAGTTTCTGCTACTACATAATAGAGGGCAATAAATTTAAAAAGAAAACAGTTTTCTACAAACAAAATTTAAAAGAATTTTGTGCAGTGTTGCCATTGTGGAACTATCAATAACAAAACATAAATCACTACCTTCACCATTTGCTACATCATCAGCAGATGATTATAGCACAGAATTTATAACTAAAAATAATAACTGGTCAGTTTATAATCATAGGCTGAAAGGAGACATGGTTAGCGAAACGCGCGTCCAGTGTAAAAGTAAAAGTGTTTGGTGTATTGTGGCAATAAATTTAGTGTTTTTATTTCGCTGTTTAAACACTCAATTTTGTTCCAACCCCTCAACTGTAAAATTCATATCGTAATACTTCCTGATAAAGCCTGCCTTCTAATTTGCTACATCATTTAAACATATTAAAATAGATCAGAGCTGTTTTTTTCAGTTTGCCATGTTAGTTGGAATTAAATCTTATGAGCTAAATTACAATCACTTCCTGACGTTTGATTGTATAATTGAATCCTGAATTTTCATTGTAATTCGGCGACAATATAATAAGCATTGTTCTACTATTATGATACCACTTCCTGACGTTCGATTGTGTTCATGCCAAGTTCATATTGTATAATCGGGAAAAAAACGGCGTTAGCGATAGCTATGAAATGAATATCACTGTCATTTATATGTAAATTTATATGGGAAATGTCATCGATCGTCCTTTTCCAGCCAACTGGACGCCGTTTTTTCAGAAGCATATCAAGTGATATCATAATATAGTACTATATTACGATACATGGCGTTCGATTGGGCTTAAACTTGGTATACTATATCTTCAGTGACATTTGTAATATCATGGTACCATGGAGCATATAAAGTGGTACCTTCTATAGTACCATATTTGATGACATAGCAATATTAGGTACATGGCGGCAATAAGGCTTAAACTTGGTATACTACGTATTTTCGGTGACATTGTAATATGATGGTACTATGATGCATATCATCTGGTACCATAATATAGTACCATATTATGTACATGGCGTTCGATTGGGCTTAAATTTGGGATACTACGTATCTTCGGTGATATTGTAATATTATGGTACCATGGAGCATAAAAGAGGTACCATATTACGATACCATTTCCTGGCGTTCTTGTTATACTACGTATCTTCGGTTACATTGTAATATGATGGTACTATGATGCATATAAAGTGGTACCTTAATATAGTACCATATTTCAATACCATTTCCTGGCGTTCGATTGAGCTCATATTTGATACTTGCGTATTTTTGATGACATGCATTATGGTACCATGAAGCATACAAACTGGTACCATAATATAGTACTATATTACGTACATGGCGTTCGATTGGGCTTAAACTTGAGATGCTACGTATTTTCGGTGACATTGTAATATGATGGTACTATGATGCATATAAAGTGGTACCTTAATATAGTACCATATTACGATACCATTTCCTGGCGTTCGATTGGGCTCAAACTTGGTATACTACGTATCTTCGGTTACATTGTAATATGATTGAACTATGATGTATATAAAGTGGTACCTTAATATAGTACCATATTACGATACCATTTCATGGCGTTCGATTGTTCTTAAATTTGGTATACTACGGATGTTCGGTGACATTGCAATATTATGGTAGCTTAAAGTATATCGAGTGGTACCATAATATAGTACACTATTATGATATCATTTCCTGGAGTTCGATTGGGCCCAAATTTGGTATACTTGCGTTTCTTTATAAAGATTTGTTTAATTAATAATTTTAATTTATTTTACGAATTTTAATTTATTGTTCGATGTCCTGACAGCAACTTTTATGCCGAACTAATATATTATTAATTGTACCTGTGTCACTTTTTAAAATCTACCTAGGTCTATATAAATAACGTGGCAAACAGAAGAAATTTGTTATTATAGTATTTTTTTTTAGTCAATTAACATTTTTTGTACTGCATTATAATAAATCATTTCCATTATTATTAAACGTATATTTCATTACTAACGTTTCAGCATTAATAAATATCACTATCAATCGCCCTGTATATTATTAATTTTAAAGGTAATTAAAGGTATTTTCTTAGTTAACATTATAAGGTATAGTGTATATTAAAAATGTATATGTTTTGTAATAATATACTTAAAACTATTTTAATAGCCAAAGGAATAATTAATATAAGTGTATCTGACAAGAAAAGAAGAATAGAAAGAAACACATACTGCATTATACACAATAAAAAAATGGGATGCCAATTCAAGTCTTTTGAATCTGGCAACTGTGCATATTTAGCCGAGCTTATAAGGCCGTCGACGAGCCGTCGATCCAAAACCGAAAGTTCAAAATTCCTAATTATATTCTGATTATGATATTGTCGCGCCATCTAGTATTCTATTTGTGCAATTTTAGCTCTTTCATTTCGAGTATTTTTCTGTTGCGTAGCTAGATATTCTGTGATTGTAGCTAAACGATTAGATTTTTACAAATTGTAAGTTTTGGGTTCGTTGAAGGACTATTAGAGCTACAAATATTTTTACAAGATATACAGTGTCCCAAATAAGTAAAAAATATTATAGTTGTATTTTTTTTAAATAGAACACCCTGTATTCCATTTTTGGATTATACCACAGAATATCTAGCTACGCAACACAAACCTCGTTACATGTATAAAATCGTAGGTAATAAAAGGAGACAGGCTTTTAACGCCTGTCTCCAAATAATCAGATATTTTGATGCGGTAGTTTCACTACTACATAACAGAGGGCGATAAATTTAAAAGAAAACAGTTTTCTACAAACGAAATTTAAAAGAATTTTATGCAGTGTTGCTATTGTGGAATTTATATTGTAATACTTCCTGATAAAGCCTACCTTCAAATTTGCTACATCATTTAAACATGTTAATAATAGATTAGAGCTCTTTTTTCAAACGTTTGAGTTAAATCTTACAAGCTGAATTAAAATCACTTCCTGACGTTTGATTCTAACTGAATCCTGAATTTTGATTGTAATTCGGCGACAATATAATAAGTATTGTTCTACTATTATGACACCACTTCCTGACGTTCGATTGTGTTCATACCGTATGATCGGGAAAAAAACGGCGTTAGCGATGGCTATGAAATGAAAATCGCTGTCATTTTATGTGTAAATTTATATGGGAAATGTCATCGATCGTCTTTTCCCAGCCAAATGGACGCGGTTTTTTTCGCTATCATACAGTATTTGATATATACTTGCGTATTTTTGATGACATTTCAATATTATGGTACCATGAAGCATATCAAGGAGTACCATAATGTAGTACCATATTACGATCCCATTTCCTGGCGTTCCATGGAGCATATAAATTGGTACCTTCTATAGTACCATATTATGATACCACTTCCTGACGTTCATTTGGGCTCATATTTGATATATACTTGCATATTTTTGATGACATTGCAATATTATGGTACCATGAAGCATATCAAGAGGTACCATAATAGTACCATATACGATACCATTTCCTGGCGTTCGATTGGGCTTAACTTGGTATTGTAAGTATCTTCGGTGATATTGTAATATGATGGTACTATGATACATCTACTATGATGTATATATAAAGTGGTACCTTAATATAGTACCATATTACGATACCACTTCTGACGTTCGATTGGGCTTATATTTGATTATACTTGCGTATTTTTGATGACATTGCAATATTATGGAAGCATGAAGCATATCAAGGGGTACCATAATGTAGTACCATATTACGATACCATTTCCTGGCGTTCGATTGGGCCCAAATTTGATATACTTGCGTTTCTTTATAAAGATTTGTTTAATTAATAATTTTAATTTATTTTATGAATTTTAATTTATTGTACGATGTCGGTGACAGCAACTTTTATGCTTAAGTAATATATTATTAATTGTACCTGTGTCACTTTTTAAAATCTACCTAGGTCTATATAAATAACGTGGCAAACAGAAAAAAATTGTTATTATAGTATTTTTTAGTCAATTAACATTTTTTGTACTGCATTTTAATAAATCGTTTCCATTATTATTAAACGTATATTTCATTACTAACGTTTCAGCATTAATAAATATCACTATCAATCGCCCTGTATATTATTAATTTTAAAGGTAGTTAAAGTTATTTTCTTAGTTAACATAATAAAGTAGTGTAGATATATTAAAAATGTATTTTGAGAGCATATGTTTTCTAATAATATACTTAAAATTAAAACTATTTTAAAAGCCAAACGAATAATTAATATAAGTGTATCTGACAAGAAACGAAGAATAGAAAGGAATTATTATACACCAGAAAAAGAATGGGATGCCAGTTAAAGTCTGTTTGAATCTGGCAACTGTGCATTTTTAGCCGAGCTTTAAGGCCGTCGACGTGCCGTCAATCTACGTCGATCCAAAACCGAAAGTTGAAAATTTTAATTATATTCTGATTATGATATTGTCGCGCCATCTAGTATTTTATTTGTGCAATTTTAGCTCTTTCATTTCGAGTATTTTTCTGTTGCGTAGCTAGATATTCTGTGATTATACGATTGAAATAATGGTAAATTTGATTATGTTTTATCACACTTAAACTTTACCGTTTTCGAAATATTTTCAATTTTGTGTAATTGCAGTAAAAAAATTAAGCTTTCATTTCTTCAAGGGCGTTAAAGGTTTTAATACTAAATATTTACTGAAGAGTATTCATTGATCAGATATTGTGTTGCAATAATAAAAATTATACTACTTTATACAGATACA